CTCGGAGCAGCGCCAGCCGTAAGGAGCTTCAACTGGACGACTGGCACCTGCAACCTGTGCATCGAAACCCTCGCCCCGAAACCCCCAACCCTAAACCCTGAAGCTTTTCAGCTTTGGGGTTTCGGCGTTCGGGCCTTGGGGCTTCGGTGTCAGCATCTGAGGCGAGAAGGTTCGAGAATCCGGCTTTCTTGAAGCACATGGGTATATGGGTTTAGGGGCTAGCCGTTTTAGGGTCAGCAACTTATCCCAAAACACCATAATCCTAATTCCTGGAACCCCCCGGGAAGGGCACGCCCTGCTTGGGGAAACCCCTCACAAAAACAAAAACTCATCTGCCCACGATCCCGACGGCGCGGCGCAACCTCAACAGCACACACGCCAACCCCAGAACCCCAAACCACAGCATCACCTGAACCCGCAACCCTCAGCCCTAAACCCTGAACCCTGAACCCTGAACCCTGAACCCTGAACCCTAACCCCTGAACCCTGAACCCTGAACCCAAAACCCAAAACCCTGAACCCTGAACCCTGAACTCTAAACCCTAAACCCTAAACCCTAAACCCTAAACCCTAAACCCTAAACCCTAAACCCTAAACCCTAAACCCTAAACCCTAAACCCTAAACCTTGGCCACCTCCCGGCCAAGAGCTCGCGCAGCTCTTTGCAGCTTGCCGTCTCGTGAATCGACAGGTCCGCCACTTCATTGCCTGGCAACGGGTCGCCAAAGGAAGCCAGGGGTTTAGGGTTTAGGGTCTAGGGTTTAGGGTTTAGGGTTTAGGGTTTAGGGTTTAGGGTTTGGGGTTTAGGGTTTGGGGTTTAGGGCTTAGGGTTTAGGGTTCAGGGTTTAGGGGGACACGGCACCCTAAGTGGCTATATCCTGATTTAGGGCATGTATGCCCTACTTACAACTACCCGTGAACCTTCAAGTAGCCTAAACCCTAAACCCTAAACCATATACCCTAAACCCTATACCCTATGCCCTAAAGCCTAAGCTTTGGCTTTGGGGGTTAGGCCAGGATAAACCTCACAAGAGCACGCGCCTTAGCAGCCACGACTCCGAATGCTCCATGCTGAGATGGGATAGGGTATCGGGTTTAGAAGCTTAGGAGTCAGGGCTCGGGGTCTGAACCTCGGGGTTAGGGTTTAGGGTTTAGGGTTTAGGGCTTAGGGCTTAGGGTTTAGGGTTTAGGGTTTAGGGTTTAGGGTTTAGGGTTTAGGGGAATAATCCCTCGCAGCAAGTGAGAAAAGTGCCAGTGGAGCCTGCCATGCTGGTGCAAGTGATGCTCACGCTTCCAGGTTGCAGGCCTCACTCCAGCTATTCAGGACTTTAGGGCTGAGAGCCCTAAACCCTAAGCCCTAGACCCTAGACCCTAAACCCTAAACCCTAAACCCTAAACCCTAACCCTAAACCCTAAACCCTAAACCCTGAACCCTAAACCCTAGCAATCTGCGGAATCAGGAAGCCCAGTGCCTCCAAGACTCAACTCGGCGCCCCGCTACAGGTGACCACGAGCCGCGGAAGGTCCTGCATGAACCTGGAGCACATGGGAGTCAGGGACTTCGGGTCGGGTGCTTCGGGCTTCGGGGTCTTAAATTCCAGCAGGACGTACCTGGGGTCCTGCGCTCAAGCATGAAGAGTCACACGCTTTCTAGGGGGTTTAGAGTTTATTAAGTTTGAGGGCTCAGGCTTCATAAGCTTTAGGGTTTAGGGTTTAGGGTTTACGGTTTAGGGTTTAGGGTTTAGGGTTTAAGGCTTACAGTTGACAGTTTTAAGGCTTTGGGACTAAAGTCCGACCGCGCCTTTGCCACACTTTACCTGCAAGCTCCGCCACCTGATGCACCTTGGCTGGGTTTAGGGCTTTAGGGCTTCAGATCCTGAACTTCCCGGGTTTAGGGTTTAGGGTTTCGGGTTTCGGGTTTAGGGTTTCGGGTTTAGGGTTTGGGGTTTGGGGTTTGGGGTTTGGGGTTTGGGGTTTGGGGTTTGGGGTTTTTCGGGTTTCGGGGCTTGAGGGGCTCCCTTTGAATTCACAGCTCAACCAAGGGAATTCGACGAGGGGCATCATCCGCACAGCGCTCCTTGACAGCCTCCCAGCAGGCTGGAGCTTGAAACGCTCTGTTTGGGATGTTCTCCCTTATACTCAGAGTCCCGAATAGGGTTTAGGGTGTATAGGGTTTAGGGTTTAGGGTTTAGGGTTTAGGGTTTAGGGTTTAGGGTTTAGGGTTTAGGGTTTAGGGTTTAGGGTTTAGGGTTTAGGGTTTAGGGTTTAGGGTTTAGGGTTTAGGGCGTCTCGCCGCGCAGCGGCAGTAAGTACCATGTGTAAATGGCGCCCCTACACACCCAGGGGGTGTGGGGGGGCGGCATGTCACGCGAAGGCATCTGTTTTCAATGTAATCCAACAATTTCATTGGTGCTGGGCTCTTTCTCCCCACCCGCTGTGAGCTTTCACAGGCCACCACCCAAACCATTGCCTTTTAGGGTTTAGGGCTGTCGCCCTCAATTCCCACCATTGCTTCAAACTTTTCTTGTTTGCTCGGCGGTGAAGGCAGCGGGGTGGGGGGGAGAAGCCAGCTCATGGCCAGGCGGGGGGCCGGGGCGGCCAGGGCCAGCAGAGGCGGGGGTCAGAGGGGGCGAAGGGGGGGCCAGAGCGGCCGGGGTCAGGGCAAGGGCACCACCATTGCTTCAAACTTTCCGGGGCCATGAGTGGCACACTTCACTCCCCGTTCATAGAGCTTTTGGTGAGGTCGTAGAGTTGATGCTCCCGCTTGTTGCCTTTCCCGGGTCAGATATTGATCGATCTTCGGAAGGCCGGGAAGGGCAGGGGTTGGGTAGGGGGAAGGTTTTTGGCTCCCCTCGAAAAACGATTGAAATATCTGTGCAGACAAAGGAGCTTAGTCGCAAATGGCAAACATGCCCCCGAGGAACATGCCGAAGCGGCCTCTTTCAAAAATCTTTCAATTGCTTCAAGACAACTCGTGTGGGGCTTTTGAAATTGCAGGGACAAAAGATTGCAGAACATGAACATGGATCGCTTTTCCGGCCTGTCAAGCACGACAAGGCTTGAAGGTGCATCCGCAAAGAGTGATCTGCAACACAGACTCAACCATCGATGCAGCTTTTGCCGCCGGGCGTGGGCGGGGAGGGCCAAGCACGGCGGAGCTTCGAGCCAACACAGTGAACATGCAGACGACGCGGCCACTCAACGCGAGGTCCCCGCAAGCATCCCGCAGCTGAGTCGCGGAGTAGCAACCCTGTCGAGCAGCAGAAGACGAAGCTTTCTCTTTTTTTCTGACAGCTGAGACGGCGTACTTGAATGTATATCGAACAAGAGACAGAGGACAGGCAAGCTACAGGGGCAGACCTGTGCCGAAACCGTCCGCCGCCTGTGGCCTTCGCCCGCTCGTCCCAAACCGCACCCCTCGGCTGGAGCCGCCGCCTGCGGCACCTCCTTTTCTGAAATGCACCCCGCCACGAAGCTTGATCGCAAGTTGAGAGAATCCTTTGACTCCGGTGGCTGAACCTACACAACAAGTCAAGGAGCCACGTTGCGGGGGCTGTCAGTGAGATCGCTAAGAGCATGCTCCGCTCAGCGGAAGCGTGCTGGCGTGAAGTGATGGACGCCCGGGTTGCCCACGAAGCGCCAGTTCACGTCGTATTCTACCCGACTCAGGGCCACGTAGGCGGCCGCCGGCATGTTCGGCACGTCCAGCCACACGGTGATGTGGGGCAGGGTGGCGCCCTGCACCTTGTGAAGCGTGCTGGCGTAGCCGAGGCGCAAGGGGAAGTGGGCGATGCGCTCCTCGGAGGTCCACGGGTGTACTGCGAGCCGGATGCCCTGGTCGGTCTTCACGATGACGTTGCCTCCGTCCATGCCAAGCACCGCCGCGCCCATCCCATTGACGAAGCCCACCGACTTGTTCAAGTTCTTCGTGAGGATGACGCGCGCCCCGCGGTAGATGGGCACCTCGACCGGGTTCTGCGCCACCATCTTGCCATCCTGGTAGTTGTCGACATTGCTTTCCGGGTCGCCGGGAACGACCGCAAGGGGGGCCGCGTCGGCGAAGAGGGCGGCGACGGCCATGTCGTTGAGCTGAGCACAGGCGCGGCGACTGATGGTGAGGAAGAGCGTCTGCGGGGTCTCTGCCAGGATGTGGGTCACGTCGTCCTGGGAAGGTTCTGGATTCATGCCGTACCCAGCCCGGTGCTGCGACGGAGCCTTGTGGCCTGCCAGGATCTTCCTTAGCTGCTCGACAGTCGGCTTGCCCACACGGAGAAGTTCCAGCTTCTTGCGCAGCTCCGGGCACTTGCACCGCAACATGGCGTGCAGCTCCCGTTTCACCTTTTTTTGGGTTCCTCCCGGACAATTTCTGGGCTTTTTCCGGACAGTTTCTGGGCCTTTTTGGGCTCCTCCCGGACGGCCTTTTTGGGCTCCCGGACAGTTTCGCACTTTTTTGGGTTGCCGGGCAGTTTCTTGGGCTCCTCCCGGACAGTTTCTGGGCTTTTTTGGGCTCCTCCCGCGCTTTTTTGGGCTCCCGAGAGAGTTTCTGGGCCTTTTTAGGCTCCTCCCGGACAGTTTCTGAGGTTTTTGGAGCCTTTTTTTGGGCTCCTCCCGGACAGTTTCCGAGCCTTCAGCGGCGCCACAGAGCGCAGCGACAGCGAGCCCGAGCGCGATTTTGGGACCCTCCGTCTTGGCCTGTTCTGGCCGTTGGGTAATTCAGTACTAAAAAATCGCACTTTTCATTGCGGGCCAGGGCAGATCCTGGGGGCCCCCTCTTGTTGAGGGTTTTTTGAAGCTTTTTGAAGCCGCTAAGCGTTCTTGTACACAGCGGCGCCACAGAGCGCAGCGACAGCGAGCGATGGTGCCATGCTCCGAGCGCGATTTTGGGACCCACGTCCTGGCCCGTTCTGGCCTGTTCGGGCGGCTCCTCTCGGACAGTTTCTGGGCTTTTTGGGCTCCTCGCGCACAGTTTCTAAGCCTTTTTCCCGGAGAGTTTCCGAGCCTTCAGCGGCGCCACAGAGCGCAGCGACAGCGAGCGATGGTGCCGCGGTGCCAGAGCGGGGAGTCGAGCGAGCTGGAGGGCTCGACGCCTGGCAGCTGGTAGAAGTCGCCAACAAAGACCAACGTCGGGAGGCGCTCCGCGGCCTGCCACTGCTCCACGATGCGTTCAAAGATGGCGCGGGAGAGCTGGCCTACTTCCTCGACGACGATCAGGTCGTAGGGCCACAGCACCTCCAAGGTCTCCTGGGCGGGCTTGTGCACTAGGAAGGCGCCGTGCACGGTGTCGACCTCCAAATCGGGGAACAGCGTGGCGGCCAGACGCCCTGTGGGGGCAGTGAGGAGGATTCTGCCGCCGACGTCGACGGTCCGTCGGATGGCCTCGTGCACGGCCGTGGTTTTCCCACTGCCTGCAGGGCCCAGGACTGCAAAGGCACAACGGCCGGTGTCCAGCGCCGGCATGAATGGTGTGGCGTTCGGCGGGGGCGCCCAGGCATGATTCTGCGAGTCAGCGTCAGCCGGATCGTCCGACCCGGGGCCTTCGCCCTTCCAAGCGTCTTCGCCTGCGCGCTTCCGGAACATGCCATCCTGCACGGCGAGAACGAGCTCGTCCGCGATGGTCCTCTGCTGACGGGAGAGCTGCACGTCGCCCGGGTTTGCCGCTGCTGCATCGTGCCCGTCGCTCACAGGGGCGTCATCGTTTTTGTCCAGCTCCCCAGAGAGGTACATGCGAATCAGGCGCTGGTTCGCGAAGATCATGGCGATGATGTTGCGCACATGATGCTCCCGGAAGGCCTCCAGCTCCAGCTCGGCACGAATGGCCGCCTCGCTCGTCCAATGCTCGGGCCGCAGTAGGAGCGAGAGCGTCTGGTAGTACAGGTGCGGTGGGACCAGTTCCAACTCGCGGCGCTCCAGCTCGCGCAGGGAACGGAAGGGCACGTTCATGAGCACCCAGTGGCCGTAGTAGCGGTCGTTGTAGCGAGACAGATAGATGGCCGCCACCGCCACGTCGCCTTGCAGGGGGGCGCCGTTGACCCAGGCCTCGAAGGATTGAAGGGCCTCCGCTGCGTCCGCGCCCTCGACTGCTGTAGTCTGGGCCACGGCCTGCTTGTATCGACGTTGGAAAGCCCTGTGAATGCCTCCGGACGCATTGGTTCGTCGAAGGTAGTCCGCCAACGGCATGTCGGCAGCGCGCCACCGGCTGGCCATGTACTGCTCCACTCGCTCCGGGAGCTCGGCTTCCCAGGGCACGGGCACCCGGAAGCGCTGCAAGGTACTCCCTGCAAAGCACTGAGGAAACCATTGCATGGCCAATTGCAAGATCATCTCCGGTTCCAGAGGGTGATAGTCCGTGAGGACCCTGCGTGCGACGGCATAGTCGCTGCATGCGTCGGCCAGCCACTCGGTCGTGAAGCTGTCCGAGAACTTGGGCACGTAGCCCGACACGTATTTGAGCAGCATGCCACGGCCGTCTGTCATCTGCACGTCCACATGGCACTGCAAGCTGGCCAGCAGATCCTTGACGTAGCCACGCACGCCTTCAGGATTGCCGGCCGCATCGAAGCGACAGAAATCTGAGGCCGAGTGGTGCAGGCGGAGCACCTGGGCGGAAGCATCGTAGCGGGAGGGACCGGGTTCCTCTGGCCACCCGCTGCCAGTCCAGGAGCGCTGCGAGCCCTCGATGAGGGAAGCCATGGCAGGGTTGTCGGCCGGGACCGTAGCTGAGAGACTGTCCTCCAAGCGCACCGCCTCGACGTGCTGCAGCCAGACCAACAAATGCAGGTGGACGGTGCCGCGGCCATGGTAGAACTGCGCGGCGGCCTCCTGGGCATTGACGTAGCGGCGTCGCTTCCCGTCCTGGTACTCGAGGCGGCCGAAGAAGTTCACGACGGTTCGGCGGCCGCTGCCGTCCTTGGCGGCGAAGACGTGGCTACGCCACGGAGCTCTGTCGGCTCGGCCCTGCGCCGTGCACCTGCTGTTGGCGCCGGTGAGCAGGCCCTGAGCTGCCTGGGCCAAGACGTGGGCGATGTGGAGCGTCTCGGCAGCCGGCAAGCGGAGGCGCGCCCGCAGCAGCTTGGCCATCTCGTCCTCAACCCAGGAGTGAAAAGGAAAACTCCACTCATATGGAGCGATGGTGAGGAAGACGGTAGGAAGGCCTAGCTGCTTGACGACATCGATCAGGCCCGCGTGGCGAGTTTGCCAATATTCCGGGGAAAAGGAATATCCGGCCATCGCCACGCGCAGGGGTGCCTCCACCATGTTCTTCTTGGCCCCGAGTGCACTCCACAGCCAGAAGTCGTAAACGAATTGGAACAGCTCGTAGTCCGCGCCGTATCCGAGAGTGGGGCCGAGCACCTTGGCGAGGTAGGCACTCTTCGCGGAGTTGCGCCCGGATCGAGCGAAGTCCAACGGAGCAGCGGCCTCGCCTCCGAAACGACCTCAGCAGGATCGGCCGCATCCTCGCTGTCGGAGTGCGAATCCGCGCCGGCAACCACAGAGGCCAGGGCCGAGACTTGCTGTGCCCCCATGTCTCGACGTCGCACATCTGCTCGTCGGATGTGTGTCTCACACATACAGGTGCGAGGATACAGGTGCGGCCAGACCGAGCACTCCAGACCCTCCTCCTCCAGTGCTCGGCGCGGCAGCCGGAGAGGGCCGTCGCGCGCCTCTCCAGTGAGTCGGGCGCGGTTGCGGCGCAAGAACTGGGAGTGCATGTGGACAAACTTTGCGTAGGAGCTGTCGGATGCACCCATGAGATAGCGAAAAGCTGCGCGGGCGGCAGTGCGGTCCTCGTCCTTCGTGAGCATGCGCAGCTGAGCCTCCACCGTCTGCGGCCGCCACCAGAAGCGAATCATGTCTGTGTGGACGCGGTAGCCATGCTTCGCGAACACTGGCGGCCCGACGTCAGGGGACAGAGGCCGCAAGGCCCACAACGCATCTGTCGACAAATTCTGCAGCTCCTGTGGGATCAGGTCCGGCGAGACGGTCGGATACCCGGAGCCAGTGCGACAATAGCGGCACCGGCGCACCGCGTGCTTGGCGGGGCGCGCGCCCGTGATATCACGCTCCTGCAGGGAGCGCTGTTCCAGGCGATGGCATTGCTCGCACAGCGCCCAGGAGTTCTCTCGGCACCAGGCTTCGAAGCGGGTGGCCAAAGGGGACCGCCAGCTTTCGTCGCCTTCTGCTCGGGCATCCAACACAGGTCCGAATTTGGCTCGGAGACGCCTCTCATCGTCCCTCCGCTTGGAGCGATAGATTGCCTCTGTCTCTGCAGGCATCGGAAGCCCGAGTGCGACACGCCTGGAAAGCAATGTGCTCCAGGATTGTGCCTCAGCACTGGCAGCTCGACGAGCCGCGACGGTGGCCTGAGCGCGCGAAGGGCGCGCCAAAGCCTGCCGTAGTCCGGCGTGGGAGTCGGCAGGGAGACGCCCCCACGCCAAGTCCAAGACCGCTTCCTGCTCTGCGTCGGACCAGAGGCGGAGCGCGCGCGTGACGTTCTTGCGGCGGCGCGGGTCTTGCAGCTGCTCACCCAACCGAGTAGGGGTACACCAGGTGCAGGCAGCTTCGCCGCGTTGGACCCTCGCGGCTTGACCGAAAGCGCTCGCCTGCAGCGAGAAAATGCAGGCGACGCCGTTTCGACCGGGGCAGACCTCGGCGGGCCTCGGGCGCCGTTGGCGCTTTTGTCGAGGCTCCTCCTGCTGAGGCGGCTCCGGATCATCTGGCGACGCGTCGGCCAGGATCTCAGGACATCCCTGTACCTCCTCTGCGTTGGCCATGTCCTCGGCTGCTTCGGCGAGGATGTCGTGCACCACCTGGTCGGCCATTGCGTACGAAACAATCGCTGAAGGGAACTGTGAGGACAACAGCTACTATAGGCTTGACTACATAGCTCAGGACGGGCCAAGACATTCAAGCATGCGGCGCCGTTCAATCGCACATGAGAGATGCGCTGAGCAAATTGACACGCTGAAATGGCGCTGCTGAAGCAGAGCAAGAGGAACGAACATACTTTTTCCGAGCAGTCGTCGCAATGCTGCCACGTCGGTCCGGCCGGCCGGAACCGCGGCGCCGCAAGGCCTCGGCGGACATTGAAAATCGGGTCACAAGATGAAGACTGCAAGCGATCACCTGCGCAGCCAGTGGTGGGGCCTCGAGCACCAGTGTCGCCGGGCCCCAGTCACCGATGTCGCCGTCGACCCCGATAAGTCAAGAACCAGCCAGACCTCAGAGACACATCACTATCCAATGCGGGTGGGCAGGTGGCTGCAAAGGTAGGTCATGCATGGCTAAGTGCTGCCTGGAAGCGGAAAAAATGAGATGAATTCGCGTGTTTTGTCCAAAACCTCCTGCGGCAGGGATCAAAGGCCTAAGGTAAAAACACGAAACGTTTTCAAAACAACATTTAGCACACTTACCCGCAGGAGGTTTTGTAGGGAGACTGCGTCCCAACCTTAAAGGAAAACCGAAAATCGACCGAAAAACGCCCACAGTAGATAGCGAAAAAACGGGTCGCGAGGCACGAAACGGCAGGAAGCCAGACGCGGGCAGGAAATCCGGGATCGCAGTTTGCTGGTTCGTATATGCATGGCTACTGAATCGTACAACCGTGACACCGCAACCAACGCAGAAAACACCAAAAAAACGCGGGTTCTGGACCAAGAAGCGGTCGTTGGGTGCCGCGTCGGTCTTGGAAAACCGTACAAAACCCTTGCGATAACGCAGAAAACGAAACGGACCACACCCTCAAAATTTCGAATTTCGGCGTCCCGGGGGGGCCCCGGGACATTGTCCTGGGGGCGTCCCGGGGTGTCCCGGGGGGGCCCCGGGACATTTGTCCCAGGGGGGCCCCGGGACGCCCCGGGACGCACCAGGACAACCTGTCCCGGGGGGGCCCCGGGACAACCCGTACCAGGGGGGACCCGGGACAAGGGCGTGGGGCCATTAAGCCTCTTAATCTGCTCCCAAAACCTCACGAAGAAGGCCCAGTTCTTAGGCTTTTTCCGTTGCTGCTGGAGCGCCTAAGGCTCCGGGGCCTGGCTGTAACTGTCTGCTTCTGGCGTGGCGCTAATTTTCGCGGATGTTTGGCGCTTGCGAGCCAACTTTTGCGTTTTGAGCTCACAAGAAAATTTGGCCAGAAAACCTCGGCAAATTCCTATGCCGGCAACGGCAGGTTGCATTTTGGGGCTTTGCGTGTCATCCTAAACCCAAAAGGAGCATGTCACAGACGCCTGTTAGCACTCAATTTCGCCCAACTTTTGCGTTTTGAGCTCAAACCGCAGCAAAGTCCTATGCCGGCAGCGGCAGGTTGCATTTTGGGGCTGTGTGGTGAACCCAAAAAAAAGGTGAAAGGGGAACGCAAGGAGGGGCCAGAAGCAGGGGCTTGGCTAGAGAGGGGGGGGGCTGGAAGGGCTGGAGGGGCTGCAGGGCCTGCAGAGCCTGGAGGGCCTGGACAGTCTGGAGGTGCTGGACTGCTTGGAGGGCCTGCAAGGTCTGGACGGTCTGGAGGGTCTTGGAGGCTCTGGAAGGCCTGGGTTGGAGGGCCAGAGGGTCTTGGAGAGTCTATGTGGAGGCTGGAGGGCCTGCAGCGCCTGGAGTGTCTGGAGGGGCTGGTTGGAGGGGGCCACAGAAGGGGGGGGTGCAGGGGGGGGGAGGGGTGGGGCTTGGCAGGAGCGGTCTAGAGCCCCCCCCACGCCAGGGGCCAGGGGGGAGGGCGGGGGGGGGGAAATAGGGTACCCAAAAAACCCTTACCCCCCCAGGGAAACGTCCTCCGAAGGATTCCGGCGCGGGCTTTAGGGTATTCTCATCAAGAGGAGGATCCTGGGGTTCCCCTTGTAAATATAAGGCACCACGTAAGTCCTCCTAAAGCAAGGCTCAGCCCAAGGGGCTTGAATTCGACCATTCTCCAATGGCTCCACCCATTGTTTATCCAGTGAAGGTGTTCATCACTGCCGGGTATCTTCTGGGTCCAGGCACCCTAGAAAAGGGTGGGTACGGCCTAAGCAGGCCGGGTGGGAATTTAGGGTTTAGGGTTTAGGGTTTAGGGTTTAGGGCGTCTCGCCGCGCCGCGGCAGTAGATGTCATGCGGAGATGGCGCCCCAACACACCCAGGGGGTGTGAGGGGGCGGCATATGTCGCGGCGGCGTATATTGAAGTTGGAGCCACCACAACCAGAAAGGTTGGGTTGTTTTTTTTTCCCACCCCCTGCTTGCGCAGGCATCCACCCAACTTTTCTCCTTTTAGGGTTTCGGCTAACGCCCTAAATTCCCACTTCCCACCCCCATCCTTTGATCGGTTGGGTAGGAGGTTGCCGTGGCTGTGGGTGGTCAGAGTCAGACCAAGAGAGGGGGGGCCCCGGAAGGGTTGGGGGGGGCCAGGGGCAGTGGGGGGTGGGTTTTTGAGCAATCGCCCAGGCTGACCTGCCTTGCGGCCCCTCTGGTCCCTGAACACGCTCCGCCAGGGGCCCGGCACAGGGGGCTCCGGAGGGGGCCCAGGGACGACCTGCAGAAGCCACTTTTGGTATTGCCGGAACAGGTCGCCAGGTTCGGGTTTCTTAACTTGAGAATCGGAGAAGGGGGGCCAGGCGGGGTACTGCACCGGCACTGGAGGTGCAGCTCATAGGGTTTAGGGTTTAGGGTTTAGGGTCCTAATCGGGATGATAGTACCCCCTTATTACAATCCCTATGAAGGACTGTTAGCATAACGGGCAACATTCCAATGCCCTCCTCTGTTTCGGGTGTGTGAGATCGCTTATCAAAACAGAGGCCCTCTAACCCTTAAAACCCTTAAAACCCTAAAACCCTAAAACCCTACACCACAAAACCCTAAAACCCTTAAACCCTTAAACCCTAAAACCCTAAAACCCTAAACCCTAAACCCCGGGCCTGGCTGTACCGGCTGAGCTGCATTGGCTCCAACCTCCGGTTTAGGCATCCAAGGGTTCCGAAGGGTTTGGGAAACTTGCGGTTTAGGGTTTAGGGTTTAGGGTTTAGGGTTTAGGGTTTAGGGTTTAAGGTTTAGGGTTTAGGGTTTAGGGCTTAGGGCTTAGGGCTTAGGGCTTTGGGCTTTGGGCTTTGGGCTTTGGGCTTAGGGCTTAGGGCTTAGGGCTTAGGTCTTAGGGTTGGGGATTGAACGTAGGTAGGTATTGGTATGCTGGCAACCTTCAGGAGCTCCAAAAAACCGACTTGCAAGCTCTGCTCATGGCGTCCTTGCTGCCGAACCTCTGGAAAAACTACCTTGGAAACTCCTAAAAGGGTTTAGGGTTTAGGGTTTAGGGTTTAGGGTTTAGGGTTTAGGGTTTAGGGTTCAAACCTCTAAGCTCATCGCATGGCACCGAAAGCAGGTGCCGCCGGCCTGGACAGCGTGCTCAAAGCAGCCAGGCGGACGTTCCAGTCCTCCCAAACGTAGTAAAACAAGGCTCGAACCCTGGGGATGCTCCCCCTTTACACTAGGGGTTAGGGTTATAGGGTTATAGGGTTTAGGGTTTAGGGTTTAGGGTTTAGGGTTTAGGGTTTAGGGTTATAGGGTTTAGGGTTATAGGGTTATAGGGTTATAGGGTTATAGGGTTCTAGGGTTCTAGGGTTATAGGGTTCTAGGGTTCTAGGGTTATAGGGTTATAGGGTTATAGGGTTCTAGGGTTATAGATAGGGTTATAGGGTTTAGGGTTTAGGGTTTAGGGTTATGGGGTTATGGGGTTATAGGGTTATAGGGTTATAGGGTTATAGGGTTATAGGGTTATAGGGTTATAGGGTTTAGGGTTATAGGGCTTAGGGTTTAGGGTTATAGGAATTCTAGTACCCCCTAATAGAATCCCCATTAAGGACTGCTAGCATAAGGGGGAACATCCCAACTAGAACCAGTTACAAATATGGCTACCTTGCTGAGAACCCCACTTGTAACCCTTCAACGGTGAATCCGAGCCGCGCCCAGAGTGAGCCCGTGCCCTCTCAAAGTGTTCAAAGTGCATTCTTAAGGACACTTTTTTCCACAAACCCTAAACCCTAAACCCAAAACCCTAAACCCCAAACCCGAAACCCGAAACCCTAAACCCTACCTATAACAGCCCACGAGCCTTCAAGTAGAGGGGCTGGGCTGGGTCCTCGTCTGCCAGCAGCCGGGACAAGACGGCGGCGTGCTTCTCCAAGACGTGAGGCTTCAGCCGCTCCAGGGTTCGGATGGCCTCGGGTTTAGGGTTTAGGGTTTAGGGTTTAAGGTTTAGGGTTTAGGGCTTAGGGTTTAGGGTTTGGGGTTTGGGGTTTAGGGTTTAGGGCTCAGGGCTGCAGATTTTCCGAATTTAGGGTTCAGTGTTCAGGGTTTCCGGCTTCTTGAGAGCCAAGTAAGAAGAAGGCTCAAACCCTTCAAGCCTCAGCCCTCCGCCACCCCCAAGTCCTCCACTTGGAGGTTCAGGGGTAGGTATAACTGGGGTTAAACGTGGACTACTTTAGTTAGAAGTGGTTGTGACCTTGTTTAGGGTACTTATAACCCTACTTATGGCAAATATAGACGAAGTGTTATTTAGGGTACTTCTAACCCTACCTATATCAACCCGCGAACCTTCAAGCAGCCATATGGGCCCAGACCTCGAAGCAGACATCGTCATCCGTGTCTTGCAGCCTGCCGGCCACCACGTCGGAGTGCAACTCCAGATCCTCACAAGACTCTAAACCCCAGGTTTAGGGTTTAGGGTTTAGGGTTCAGGGTTCAGGGTTCAGGGTTTAGGGTTTAGGGTTTAGGGTTTAGGGTTTAGGGTTTAGGGTTTAGGGGCTTTGCGAAGGAAAAGCTTTGAGTTTCGGATATCTTGGGTAAGTTGCTATTCTAGTTATCTGTCATTTTTGGGGTAGGGGTCTTGGCGTTCGCCCGGAACTTCCGCAACTGTCGCCAAGAGCACAAACCTGTCCTCGGGGTCCATGACAGCAAGCGCCTGCTCAGACTCTCAAGCGAAAAAACGTTCAGGAGGTCCCCAGATATCATAAGACCCAAGAAGTGGATGTTCCCTAGTTCCTTACTCTGAACCAGTATACAAAAGCAAACTGTTTGGCTCGAGGATCCGCCCGATTATCTTTGAAGTCCTTTGTAGAGATGATGGCCTGGTTTCTGCTTAAAGCTATGTGGAAGAGCGTGGAGGCGTGAGGTAAATGTCCCTCCCCCCCCCCCCCCGCCCCCCCCTGCCCTCCCCCCCCCCCCCTCTCCCCCCCTCTGCCCCCCCCTCCAACGCACAAAACCCTCGATCACAATGGCCGATATGGGTATCTCAATATACCCCAAAATAGTATAATCCTGAAAGAGGAACCCCCAAAAGGGTACCCCCTGTTTTCGGAAACCCCCATATGGGGTTTAGAGGGTTGAGAGCTTAGGGAACAGGAACCCATGAAGATGCACTTGCTAACCCATCTGCCATGGATCTGGCCTCAAGGGCCAGCTTCCGCATCCAGGGATATCGGCTGTGACAGAATCCTGGCCCAGAGCGTTCCCTTTTTGTTGCCAATACCCGAAACCCTAAACCCTAAACCCGAATGCGGGATGGGCTAGTTGTACTGGATCTACCTGGCCAGTAGGGGGGGGGGGGGGTACTGAAGGGAGCTTGCAACCTTTCGCGCACGTGGGCAACTTTCCGAAAGCTTCCGGCGCTGCGGCCTATGGAGGCTGTCAGGCGCGTCAGGCCAGACAGACAAGCATCTTCTTGCCACGTCCGCTTTGCGGACTCTACATTCGAAGTCTGCAAGCCTCTCCGGCCTTTCCAGCAGGCTGTCGACCACCGCGCATCCTAGAGCAGCTGTCCTAGCGGAGTTCGAGCAGCCGAATCTTCTCAAATGTCAGCCTTGATGACAGAAGAGCAGAGCCTTGAGCACAGAGATCTCCAAGGCCTGGTCGCATGTTTTCTATGTTCAAAAAGTAATACCAATAAGCATACGAATGGCAATACTACCAATACTAACAATACTCACATTAAGACTTTAACCCGAAAACACTCTATTGCCAATAATACGAATAGCAATCATTCCCCCTAAACCCTAAACCCTAAACCCTAAACCCCAAACCCTAAACCCTAAACCAATAGTTCCTCCGCCGTCCGGGCGACACCGGCCTTCCGGAGCGGCCTGGTCTTCGAGCGCAGGAAGCACAGGATCCTGGCGCCGTCTTCGGAACATTTTTGGGGTGGTGTAGGGTTTAGGGTTTAGGGTTTAGGGCTTAGGGCTTAGGGCTTAGGGCTTAGGGCTTAGGGCTTAGGGCTTAGGGCTTAGGGCTTAGGGCTTAGGGCTTAGGGCTTAGGGCTTAGGGTTCAGGGTTTAGGGTTTAGGGTTTAGGAACCTATGGGTGCCCATATGGCAACTTTTGGGCTTTTAGGGCTCCGGAGCAAGGCAAAGAAGTGGAGAAACGGCCGCGTTCCTCCTACCCTAAACCCTAAACCCTAGACCCTAAACCCTAAACCCGAAACCCTAAACCCTAAACCCTGCTTCTTGCTTTCTTACAGCGCCAAGCGAGGCGGCGAGGCGGGTCCTGCGACCGCCAACAGCTCAAGGGTCACGATCCTCAGGAGCCCTCCACACAAAGTCACGTGAGCTGCAGGACATTGGCTGTGCCATCGGCCCCCGAGACCTCCGAACTGCGAGCGCAACGGTTTTGGTGACTTCTTGCTGATTCATTGTTGGTCTAATTGCTCCCTCACTCTCTCTCTCTCTCTCTCTCTCACTCCCTCTCCCTCTCCCTCTCCCTCTCCCTCTCCCTCTCCCTCTTCCTCTCCCTCTCCCTCTCCCTCTCCCTCTCCCTCTCCCCCTCCCTCTCTGTCTCTTTCTCTTTCTCTTCCTCTTTCTCACAGACAGAGAGAGACAGAGAGAGAGAGAGAGAGAGATGGAGAAAGAGAGCGAGAGATATGGTATAGATGCACATATAGGTTGACAGGAGACAAGCACATCGCCCCAGTGGATCCACCAACTGTTATGTTTTAAAAAGAACAGCAGAAAGCCATCGTGTCGTGAAAAAAGGTCTCGAACGCATGGTTGGCAGAATGAAAAATGCCGCTCTGGGCTTCTCGGAATGCAAGCTTAACTGCACATAGATGTTCTTCGCGTAACTCTTCCATATTTAAGCAGCTGGAGCTGCTTGAGGAGCAAATTGCGACAAGAACAGGGACCGTGCCGAGCAGAACCTCAAGCAGAATCCCACAACCTGCACCCTCAATCCGAGAAAACGCCCGGAGCCTCCACCCACCCGCGCGGATGCAGCGCCAGCCAGAGGGGCTTTCCCTCTTTGGGATGCTGCGCGATTTGACGGAAGACGGCTCCTGAAGAGGAAGGAACACAAGTAATACCATCAGTCGTCATCACAAGGTTCGGGTTTGGGTCCGCGGGGAGGTTCTTGAGGTCTTGGGCCGAGTCTGTGGCAACGAAGGTCCTTTCGGGCTAAGGCGTGGACACAAGGCAGGAACAGAACGTCCAGAAAGAGGACAAACAGAAAGAGCAGCCGCGTCAATAGACAGGTCCACCTCAAACTCCATCAACCCCGCAAAAAAAGGCTTGGAGAGCTGCTCCTGGCTGCAAGGTGCGGAGGCGGTCTCGAAACCCCCCCACTGAGGGGCGCTGCCAGACTGGAAGGGCCCTTGGGGCGTTCGTGGGGGGAGAGAAAGGTTTGGGGTTTGGGGTTCAGGGATTGTTGGTTGGGGTCTAGGGATTTGGGATTAGGATTTAGGCCTTAACCTAAAGAATGAGGGAACTAAATGATCCCTTGAAGGTTACTCAAATTCTCCCGCAGCTTTCCTGTAGCTTTGAGTGGGGAATCTCTGATCCTTAGGGGGAGGGCTGCAGAGGCGTCAATTTTTAGGCGGAGGGGCATCGGGGCCCCTAAACCCTAAACCCCAAAACCCCAAACCCTAAATCCTAAACCCCAAACAGCCATTGGACTCACCGGACACTTTCTCGGGACACTTCCAGGGGGCCTAGGGGCTTTTGCTGGGAGACTTCGACTGGCTGCCTTTTTGTCTCTTCTCAGCACCATGAGCATCAGTGGGGTTTAGGGTTTGGGGTTTAGGGTTTAGGGTTTACACGTGTGTACGTGAATGCGCAGTCGCAGGCGACTGTGTATTTGATTTGGATGTGTGCTTGTACTTGTTCTTGCATCTGTGTATGTATGTGCATTTGTACGCATATTTGTGTGTGCGCGTGCACTTGTACTTGCATGAGCAGTTGCATCTGTACTTGTATCTATACTTGTACTTGCATAAGCGTTTGTACATGCAAGTGCATTTGCATTTGTTTTGCATTTGCATTTACATTGGTTTTTTGCATTTGCATTTGCACATGCGTACGTGCATTCGCATTTGCAGTTGAATGTGCATTTGCATGTGTACTTGCATTTCAACTTGCATGTGCATGTGTATCTGTTGCTGTTGGCTGCTTGTTCGGTTGTTTTCCGTTGTGGCTTGCTGTGATTATTCCCCGTCTTCTTGTCATGTTTCTTGTTCTTTTTGCAGTACGTGTCCTTTCTTGCTGTTACATGGTCGTTGTTCGTCGTCGCGGTGGTTGCTGTTGTTGGTCTCCAAGCGCCAAACCCGTTTGCCCTCCCCTGGCCCCCCCCCCCCCCTGAAAAAAAACAACAACTGAACCCTACACCCAATACCCACATCTTGGTCATCTTTTCACGGTTTAGGGTTTTTGGGCTTGCGCATCATGATTTTTTTGGGGTCTCCGTGAAAGCGTTATAAAGCAAAGTCTTTTGAGAGGAGTTGCACGAAATTACTATTTGCTTAAGAACCCCCAAGACATGAACAAATGAAAATCCCCTTCTTGTCCTTCTAAGGGAGAATTGTCTTTTTATTTGTTGGGGGGGTTCTTAAGCAAATAGTAGGAAAGGTATGGCGCACCCACAGCAACAGCCCAGGAACCCTCAAGTAACCTTGCTGCCCGCAGCCCTTCGAGCTTCCAAGCAGCAAACATGGGCTTCACTTCGGGTTCAGGGTTCAGGGTTTGGGGTTTGGGGTTTGGGGTTTGGGGTTTAGGGTTTAGGGTTTAGGGTTTAGGATTTAGGATTTCGGATTTAGGGTTTAGGCCCAGCTCAATGTCCTGCAAGTGGCACCAGGGCTTTCCATGTCGGCCCACCAGTCGGAGGCGTCACGATGTTCTTGCCCAGCTCAATAACCTGAGGTGCCATTGGGGTTTAGGGTTTAGGGTTTAGGGTTTAGGGTTCAGGGTTTAGGGTTTAGGGTTTAGGGCTTAGGGCTTAGGGCTTAGGGTTTAGGGTTTAGTCCTAGACCCCAAAGCTGGTTGGCGATAATAAGGGACCCCTTATATGGGACCCCACATAGTAGGATCTCCTTCTAGCAAGGATCACAACATGGTACCCCGAATATCGTAAACTCGTCCTAAACCTTGATACCCTGGAATACTCTCTAAACCCTGAGCCCCTAAACTCCAAATCCCTGAACCCCACACTCACACGGCAACAATAGCAATAGAAACAACAACAGTTATGACAACTACACCACCGAAGACCCCGGCCCCAAACAGTCAAAGGCAAGTCAAAGAAACAGTGGAGACGACGGGGGACAAAGGGAGACGAAGGGAGACAAAAAAAGGCCCACCCACATGAAGGGAGACAAAGGGAGACAAAGGGAGGCACAGGGAGACAAAGGGAGACAAAGGGAGACAAAGGGAGACAAAGGGAGACAAAGGGAGACAAAGGGAGACAAAGGGAGACAAAGGGAGACCAAGGGAGGCAAGGAGAACCAGGCATAAGTCCTCAGAATGTCGGCAATCCTTAAATGAGTTTAGAACCCCGGCAGTAGACTGTTTGGGGAATCATGATCGTAATCGTCATAGCTACCGTGATCAACCCTAAACCCTAAACCCTAAATCCTAAACCCTAAACCCTAAACCCTACCCTAATTTTTAGCCCTCAAACGCGCCTCCACGTCACCACGCGGGCGCTTCGCAGCAGGCTCACTGCTGGCGGGCGCCTGCACCTCCCCAAACGCAGAATTGAGGCTGAAGGGGCGATATGATTAGAAGAAGTTTTTGGGGAATATTTTCATACCTAGAAGACGGTTTTGGGGCGTGAGTATAGTATTTTCATACAGGGACCATATGGCAGTGGCATTCGTAGTTCTTCCGGCCCCACAGTAGGGCTCTTTTTCATTTTTCAGGGTTTCTGGGTTCGGGGTTTGGGTTCTTGGGCTTGGGTGGCCCTCAGGCCCTGTTCGTGTTCAGCTGCGCCTGCTGGACGCCGCGCTTCTCCCTCTGAGCTGCGTCTTGTCCTTCTCCCGGCGCCTGCCTGCTCTCCCTGGCAGTAGAAGGGCTCGAGCCCGATGTGCTCGAGGCAGCTGAAGCAGCCGGCGCAGAGGCCGCAGGAGGCTCAGAAGCCGGAGCCCGGTGGGGATGCGCGGCTGGCGCCGCGCCGTGCAGCGGCGTGAACTTCCTTGGGCTGCGGGGAAGTTCGAAGCGCGGGGTCGGAGAAAAAAAGAAAAAAACAATGCCACCTTGAGCCTGCCGTTGGGGGGGTTTACGAACATAGGGGACCCTCCAATATAGATCCCCAAATAGTAGGATGCCCTGAAAATAAGGGCCCCCCAATAAGGTACCCCGAATTTCGGCAACCACCCCACATGTCCTTAACACCTCACTTGCAGGCGTCCCCAGGCGGTCGAAGTAGTAGGAGACGTGGAGCTGACGTTTGGTTTCCCTCGGATTTGACAAGCATGGGCCCTTGTTGGGTTGGACACAAGTAGAAGGGCCCCAAACCCTAAACCCTAAACCCTAAACCCTGAACCCTAAACCCTAAACCCTAAACCCTAATCCCTAAACCCTAAACCCTAAACCCTAAACCCTAAACCCTAAACCCTAAACCGGTGTATGTGGCTCCTGCGACATGCGAGGCTGAATCATGAGGCCCGGAATCGGGGTCCCTTAATCGACTGCGGCCAAAGGGCCCATACCATTTTGCCACTTCTGGCCGACCCTTCATCCGTTCACCCCAGCCGCGGTAGTTGTCGTTGTCGACCTCGGGCTTTAGGCTGCAGGGCGCGTGACCCCCCACCCCCCTACCTCCCTCTCCACTCACAACATGCTCAGTAAAACTATAATGCATTAGGATTGAGAAAGGATTTATGATGTTGTTTACCTGCTTTATAATTATTATGATGTTGTTCAACTGCTTGATAATTATAAGATATATTTGTCTGTTTGTTTATATACTGATTTGAATGATACAAGGGGCATAAGGACACTTCCACTTCCATGCTTCGAGGATGGTGGAGTAGTCGTCGATGTCGCCCAGCCCATCCCGGGAAGGGATGACCACCAGCGCCGACTCCAACCTGACCCTAAACCCTAAACCCTAAATCCTAAACCCTAAACCCTGGAGATGTTCCTCTCTGTTCGTGGCAGCCTTGCAACGACTATTTACAACTCTATATAAAAATCTCGCTGTCCCTGATGGGCACCTACCGAACATAGTTGAAACAGCAGTTTCGAGCGCGGTGCTGACTTGGGTATTGCGTTCAGCTTGGAGATGTTGGAGAAGGCTCAAGAAGAAAAGTCAGGCTTTCACAGCCGGGATGTGGCAGGGTTTAGGGTTTAGGGTTTAAGGTTTAGGGTTGAGGGTTTGGGGGGTAGGGTTTCGGGTTTCGGGTTTAGGGTTTAGGGTTTAGGGTTTAGGGTTTAGGGTTTAGGGTTTAGGGTTTAGGGTTTAGGGGTTAGGGTTTAGGGTTTAGGGTTTAGGGTTTAGGGTTTAGGGTTTAGGGCTTAGGGGATGTGACAAGAGGCTTCTGCGAGATCTTGTCACGTCCCACCTCGGAGTTGTGGGCCCTAATCTCCAAGCTGCATAGGGCTTAGGGTTTAGGGTTTAGGGTTTAGGGTTTAGGATTTAGGGTTTAGGGTTTAGGGTTTCAGGTTTCGGGTTTAGGATGCAGGGTTTAGGGTTTAGGGTTTAGGGGTTTGTTTGGGGTTTAGGGTGACATCGCGGGGGTTGAACCTCAGGGCCTTGTAGGGGCCATGAGCTTTGGGTCTGGAGCGTAAGCGAGTGAGGGTTTAGACTCCGGCAGCTGTTCTGCGAAGCCACGATCGAGAGCAGCCGCTGGCCGATGATGGCGTGGACCATGAACCCTGCACCTTCGCGGCAGGGGCTGCAGAGCATCATCCTAACATATCCTATCTCATGCAGGATTAGCTGATTATGCTTCGTAGTGCTGATGGTCATGCTGCATACCTGCTGTATGTACATGTTGTAGCACTGCCAACAACAGCAAGCACTTGACCACCCACCTCTTGATAACGACGGGCTAGTGGCTGACAATGCGACCACATGGATGCAGAAGGGAGCGCCTTCATAGTAGTTGTAGGCATCCTCGACGCCCCTCCAGTCAAACTTGTTTTGTCCTTTGGTTCGCTTCAGGACGTTCTCTCCGTAGGTGCAGCCAATATTGGCGCAGTTCAGGACGACGTGCTTCACGCTCGTGGGCGTTCCACTTCCTCAGGCGTCCCTAAACCCCCTGACCCTGAACCAGAGACTGGCTACCCCAAAGAACTCTGCAAGAAATCCGGCAGGCATAGCGCGCATTGAGGGCTGCGAACGTTCGGCTTCAGGCTCTCCCATCCTACTACATCCCAAGTTCTCTAGCACAATACCCCCCCAGACCCGAAACCCTAAACCCTGAACCCCAAACCCCATGGAAAAAGCCGCGTCTCGCTGTGGCGTGGCCGTCTCGGCGATGACCGGCTTGCCCGAGGCACTCGCTGCATGCCTCTCGGAGGAGGTTGCATGGTTCCCGAAATCGGGGGTACCTTATTGGGGGCCCTTATTACAAGCGCATCCAAAGGGCATCCTACTATTTGGGGTCTATATTGGGGGGGTCCCCTGTTTTCGTAAACCCCCATATCCCGTATACAATTACTCTGTATTATGTTAAGGTTCGGCATGTGCTATTGCATTGTACCGTCTTGTGGCTTGAATATTATCATATTACAAGCGTGGGAGCCGAGCACCGGACCCGAAGTGCACCCCCCGTGAAGTCTCAGGGCTACCACCAATTAGGGCATCCCGGTCAGAGGCACAAACCGCCTACTCGCCGACTGCCGGAAAGCTCGAGTTCGAAGCCCCAGCGCATCACATCTTAAACCCCAAATCCCAAACCCCCGACGCCCTAAACTCAGGGCCTAGGCCGCCCCCCTACGTTGGGAGGCGGTGCTTTAAGCCCTTCGACCTCAATGGCGCAAGCCGGCCCAGGTCGCTCGCCCGCCTCCCACAGCATGGGGGTCGGTAGCACCCACGATGGCCCCGGTACCGGAACACTTTTTTTTCGGGACCAGTACTGTAATTACCCTAAACCCCGCCCCCCGTCCTGGGCGTCGCTGGCCTTTTTGGAGGGGTATGTCCAGGGCTCCCAGGACCAGGACCCCTGGCCGCAGGGTGCTCAACCAGGGGCCTAAGGCCGCAGGCGCTCAAACAAGCTGTTTTTTGGCTTCCTGCGCCCACTCGGCCTGAACGGCCCGGGACCTGCCTGGGAGCCTCCTTAGAATCTGCGATTTGCTTCAGACAGAAACCTTTTTACAACTCCTGACATTCAGGACGGAAGAAGTGTTTAGAAATGGACTGTTGTCTGAGTTTAGGCCTAAACCCTAAAAGGAATAGGTGTGGGTGGAACAAATACAGAGCTAGATCGGCTCCAGTGCATCTTGCAACTGACTCGCATCTGGTTTCGTAGATTGAACCGGTCTCCAGCAAAGTAGATTGCTTCGGAACCGACGGCCATCTACTGAACGACTCAATGCATTGACTGAGGCGCGAAACAGGCATGAATGGCACCGAGATTGCTTAGGAACTGCGACAAGCCAAGAAAAGAAACAGGACAGGACCGGCTGCACGTGGCCCGGGCCGAAAGCCCTGCGGAAGTGTTGGCGAACCGGCTGTACGGGGCTCTGGCTAGCGGGCATGCGCGTGTAGGCGCTCAATGCTTGACACTCACAAGCGGAGGCAGCACTTGCGAAGACTGAAGAACACAGCTGCAGTGCTGCGAGTTCCCAATGGGGGCTCACGGGAGGGCCTCTGGGGGATCGATGCAGTGCTGCTCGGCAGCGCGCAGCTGCTCAACCGGCCGTGCCTCGAAACGCTGTTGGGCTCGACGGCGACGGTTGATTGAGCGGGCGGCCGCACGGCAGAGCACAACCGCTATCTTGCCAAGGAGCTCAGACTTGACAGTGGCTGGGTCACGCTGCAGGGCGGCCGCGGCAGACTCGGCAATACCGTGGATGACAGCAGCAGCCTCCTTGCCAAGACCACCCTGGGCCTCGAACACAACCGGCTGTTGGGTGGCTTTGCCGCCTTGGACGGCGTGGGGTGGGAGGAAAGTGTTAGAAGGCCTTCCACAATCGAGCCAAAGCTGTCTTCACGAAGCTTTCGACCTTGTTCCACAGCCTAACCTTCACAACATCTACGCCTTATCACAGCAAACCCTAAACCCTAAACCCTAAGCCCTAAACCGCCTGCCTCAGTTTCTCCACCGCAGCCTTCAAAAAGCCCTCGTCGCCCGAGAGGAAGGCTACCAGCTCCTGCGGCAAGGGATGTGTTGTCGGGTTTGGGGTTTAGGGTTTAGGGTTTAGGGTTTGGGGTTTGGGATTTAGGGCTTAGGGGCTTAGGGGCTTAGGGGCTTAGGGGCTTAGGGGCTTAGGGGCTTAGGGGCTTAGGGGTTCGTACCTCCAAGCTTGGCTGGCTGTAGCTTCTTTGAGTGCAGCGCCTTGGGGCGTTTTGTTGTGGGATCTTGGCAATGATTCGAAGCTGAACTTAAGCTCGAAGCCCCCCTCAAACAAAACGGGTTTCGGGGAACTTCAGGAGGCGGTTACTTAGGGAAGCTACACTGCAGGTCATGAGGTCTAACAGCTACCCTTACTGGTGGGTCATGAGGTCTAAAGGCTACCCTTACTGGGTCATGTGGGCACAGCGGTGTTAGCTGCAGAAATCTTCTGCTGCTCTACCTGCTGACTCCGTGCAGCGCATCTTCGCTTCTCGTCCGGGGGGGTTTGGGAGCTTGAGCATCCAAGAGTCCAAGAGAGGCCCACTCTTAAGCAGGGGGGGGGGTTTAGGGTTTACTGTTTAAGCACTCTTAAGCAGGGGGGTTAGGGTTTAGGGTTTACTGTTTAAGCACTCTTAAGCAGGGGGGGGGTAAGGGTTTAGGGTTTAGGGTTGCCTTTTCAAGGTTCAGGGTGTTCTTGTAGGCAGGACAAGGACGCAGTCCTGGCGGTGGCTTGAATGGGCCGATGCCTGCTCCAGGAGCGAGAGCACTTTCTGCCGATCCCCCTGCAGAAGAGGGTTCGGCTGGTTCAGGGTAGGGGCAATAGGGTTTAGGGTTTAGGGTTCAGGGTTTAGGGTTTAGGGTTTAGGGTTTAGGGTTTTGGGTTTAGGGTTTAGGGCTTAGGGCTTAGGGTTTAGGGTTTAGGGCTCAGGCTCGGGGTTGGGGATTCGCGGCTTGGCCAGCAAGGTCGTTCTTCGCTCGCAGGGATGTGTTCTACACGTCGGAGGGGCGGGACGGCATCGCGGCGAACGCAGCAATGGTTTCTACTTCTGCCTATGCGAAGCTGGTCTTGGTGCCACGCGCGGCTTACGCTTCTGGTGTTGGGCGGTGGATCAGCCTCCCTAAACCCTAAACCCTAAACCCGAAACCCTAAACCCTAAACCGCTTCTCTTCGCCCTCTTGCACCGCGCAGGGCGCTGAACCCCTGAAGCTCGAATCTCCACCACAGCTTCCAGGGACACCATCACTGTGGACTTCAGGCACTTGAGAGGGCTCCCCCTATGTTTCCTGCAAGCCCTAAACCCTAAACCCTAAACCCTAAGCCCTAAACCCTAAACCCTAAACCCTAAACCCTAAACCCTAAACCCTGCGAACAAGAACTTGGGAAGAGGAGCTTAGTACTCCAAGCCACACTCCAAGCCTCCTCCCGGGCCAGTTTCAGCAGCCCCGCCAACTTGCTCAGGCTCGCAAGGATATCCGCCACCTGCGACTTTTGGGGTTTGAAACCCGAAACTCGAAACCCTAAACCCTAAACCCTAAACCCTAAAACCTAAACCCTAAACCCTAAACCCTAAACCCTAAACCCTAAACCCTAAACCCTAAACCCTAAACCCCAAACCCCAAACCCCAAACCCCAAACCCCAAACCCCAAACCCAACCAACCGAGCCCCGAAAAGGTCCCAGTCTCTGAGCGGGGCGGCCTCTGCTGACTGGAAGCCCTCCAGGACAGCCTCCGGAGCGCAGGAGCACTTGCGGCAGGTTGAGAGTTTGAGTGTTTTGGGCTTAGCCCTAAACCCTAAACCCTAAAACCTAAACCCAAACCCAAACCCTAAACCCGAGGAAGGGACGCCGCGATGCCAGGATACAACGTGGCTTTCGGGAATGAACCCTCAAAGTACCCTTTAGAAAGTAGCTCCTCAGTACTTAAGCAAATGTCGTTGAAGAATAAAAGATAAGCTTCTCCATGTAAACATGAATGGAGCCATCTGGAGACTAAAAACTTTTGACGGGTCAACGTGCGTGGGGGATGGAGACCCTAACCCTAAACCCTAAACCCTAAACCCTAAACCCTAAACCCTGAACCCTGAACCCTGAACCCTGAAGTGCGCCTGCACTGCTTCCGCCTGGATCATGCGATCCACTGCCCGGACGCCCGGGACCCGAACGGGGACGGCGGAGGACAGCGGATCGCAGCCGCGCACGACATGGCGGCGCGGTGCTGCGGAATCGAGGTGAGTTTGGAGCCTGTTTAGGGTTTAGGGTTTAGGGTCTAGGGTTTAGGGTTTAGGGCTTAGGGTTTAGGGTCTAAGGTTTAGGGTTTAGGGTTGAGAGCTTAGGTTTAGGGTTCTTGGGTTTGGGCTCTATCAGGGTTCTTGGGCTTGGGCTCTATCTTGGGTTCCAGGGTTTGGGCAACTTGAGGCGTATGTTTCGGGCCGTCTGCTGAGGAGCCTGCATGGCCTGCATCATCCTCATAACAAGAACTGCAATCATAACCGAACAATAGTCATGAGTAAAGAATCATATAAGGAGAATGACAGCAATCATGCAAGAAATCATCGCAAAAACACCTGCCGGTCCCTACGTTTGCCGTCGCGCATTCTTTTTCATTGTTTTTTAGGAACGATTGGTAATCAAGTGTGCCCCTGCACCAAGTAATTAGGCATCAAAAAATGCTGCCCCCACGCTACATGAGTGAGGGAAATCGAACTTGTGGGCAGTCCGGGTCCCTTTTTGGGGGTCCTTGTTCTTCAGGGCTGCCGGTGCGAAAGAAAGGGAACACCAGAAACAAACAATGGACCCGAATTTCGAGAACTGGAACCCTAAACCCTAAACCCTAAACCCTAAACCCTAAACCCTAAACCCTATGTAGTGGGGGAGCCGCGCCTTCCAAAGCCTCTGCTTCCTGGGCGAGGACCTTCGGACCCATGCTCCGGAGGCGCAGGAAGTTTTCCTCAGAGCTTAGGGTTTAGGGTTTAGGGTTTAGGGTTTTGGGTTTTGGGTTTTGGGTTTTGGGTGTTGGGTGTTGGGTTTTGGGTTGTGGGTGTTGGGTGTTGGGTTTTAGGGTTTAGGGTTTTGGGTTTTGGGTTTTGGGTTTTGGGTTTGGGGTTTTGGGTTTTGGGTTTTGGGTTTTGGGTTTTGGGTTTTGGGTTTTGGCGGGGGGGGGGGGGGGGGGGGGGGGGCGCCCCTTGGGATTTTCTAAGCGCGCGCAGCAGGGAGAACCACAATGGGATCAATGATGTTTTCTATTGTCCTTATTAGTGAGAAATACTAACAGAAGTAATATTTATATATATATATATATATATATGTATATACACAGTCTTCGAAATATATCATACGACGTACAAGAAGGTTTCTAATGACAACAAGAAGAACCGCTGGGGCAGCAGAGCCTCATAACGAACCCTCCAGTCGTTGCTTGTCGCCAGCGCTTCCATCATGGAGACGTCCGCCATGTCCTCGCTTGTGCGAGAGAGGCCGCTGGCGCGGGGATGTCCAGAAAACGCCCCACCTCCCTGCAGCTGCGAGCCGGAATGCGACAGCAGCATGGCGGCGAGGGGCAACTTCGTCACCCTAAACCCGAAGCCCTAAACCCTGAACCCTGAACCCTGAACCCTGAACCCTAAACCCTAAACCCTAAACCCTAGACCCTAGACCCTAAACCCTAAACCCTGGACCCTAGACCCTAAACCTAAACCCTAAACCCTAGACCCTAATCCCTAAACCCTAAACCCCAACACCGAAGCCGGGTCGGCCACTCCAGCTGCAAGCTGGCTGTCGCTGAGCTCGCGGCAACGGAGGCTGTCCATGGAGAACATGACGGGCTCTCTTTGAGAAAAAAGATGAACAAACGACTTTACTTCCTCAAACGGTCGGGTGTCACTATACCCGGAGGGATTATGAACATACACCGGTGCCTGCTTTGCACACTGCGCAGAAACCGCCAGCACGGAGCCGCGAAGAAGCCAAAGCGGCATCGGAGGGCGGGAGCAAACTTGAGCAAAACCATTCCGGGACGCTCGGCCTGAAAATCTGCCGGTCCCGGACAAGGCTGATCTCTTGCCAAGCATACCCTAAACCCTAACCCTAAACCCTAAACCCTAAACCCCAAACCCTTTTCTGTCCCTTGCACATTCGGCTTCGGCTCCAAGTCGAGGTGTCACACACTCAACGGGGCCTACTAAGAGGCTGCCGGGCTTCCGACATGCGGGTTTAGGGCGAAGGAAGGCTTCAAAGCTTCGGCTACTCCTGGCTTCGCTTCCATAGGAGGGTTTAGGGTTTAGGGTTTAGGGTTTAGGGCTTAGGGTTTAGGATTTAGAGTTTAGCTACGTCCCCTGAGCCGCACTTCGGACCCCGAAGTTCGACGCATCACCGCATGAATTCGCCAGCCTTTTGGCACAAACTCTGGTTCAAAGCCAGAGCTTTCCGTGGCCTTACCTTATGTCCGTCGTCGGGATCTTGCTCTCACGGGGTGGCGTCTATTTTGACCCAAAAACAGAGCCGCCTCTGCTGTCAGAAGGTCATCTGGGAGTAACGGGTGACCCCCCTTCGGCTGGGTCGGCTCTCTTCCTCGGTATTTAGGGTTTAGGGTTTAGGGTTTAGGGTTTAGGGTTTAGGGTTTAGGGTTTAGGGTTTAGGGTTTAGGGTTCCGGGCTTAGGGTTTAGGGTCCCTTCATTCAGGAATACACCCTCTTGGCCGCAGAATCAATGTGCCCCATGACCAGGCGTCCCCAAACCACGAGAGCCTGCTGGAATGCCCAAATCTCCTCACTGCAACTCCATGTTGCAGAAAGCAAGTGATGGCAAACTATGGCAAATATCATAACCCCAAACCCTTTGGGGGTTTAGGAGTTTAGAGCTTACAGGGTCTCACAAGTTCTCCAAACCCCCAAACCCCAAACCCCAAATCCCAAATCCCAAACCCCAAACCCTAAACCCTAAACCCCTGTTTCGCAAGCAAAATCCTAACCTCCACCTTCTCAGGCCCCGGCTTCGCGATCGTTGCCCCAGGAGGTGGACCAGGAGCCACGACTCCGCCGGCCGCCGTCGTCCCGGCCCTCGTTGTTTGGGGTTTTAGGGGTTTCAGGTTTTGGGGTTTAGGGTTTTTGGGGTTTTGGGTGTTTCCTTTTTTTGTTTTGGGAAAAAAGGGGGGGGTGTTTGGGGGGGCTGGGAGGTTCGGGGGGATTGGGGCTACTGGGGGGGTTTGGGTCAATTGAAGTGAATTGAGCCAGAAGCGATTCGAACAAACTTTCTTACACTCGACTTGTCGGCTGTTTAGACAAATAGCATACGTAATTCAGAGTGATGCCACCTACAATTTCCATTTTTTTGTCTTGAAGGTTCAGGGTTTAGGGTTTAGGGTTGAATTAGCGTTTAGGGTTTAGAAGGATGTATCTTGAGAACTAGGTGTGGGGGTCTCTCAGGCTTCGAGTGAGCTTGGTTGCGGCTGAATGCCCACTTCGGAATGAGCACTGGGCAGGTTGCCTGCGACACTTTGCGGCTTTGAGGGTTTAATATGTGGGTGGTTGTCAAAATGATGGTCCCTTTTTGGATCCCTATTATACTACGGCACCTTGTATTTACGGTACCCCAAAAGAGATCATAATTTTGACTACCACCCATGCATGGTGTGCAGGCTGAAACCAAAACCCTAAACCCTAAACCCCTAAACCCCTAAACCCCTAAAGCCCTAAAGCCCTAAACCCCTAAACCCCTAAACGGCACAGCTTCTGAGGCCATAACGCCGCGGTCGTCATGGTCCCATTTCCTGCCCTTGTCCTCACCCATGAAGTAGGGCCAGCTGAAGTTGAGGGGGTTCAGCGTTCAGGGTTTAGGGTTTAGGGTTTAGGGTTCAGGGTTCAGGGTTCAGGGTTTAGGGTTTAGGGTTTACAGTTTAGGGTTTAGGGTTCAGGGTTCAGGGTTTAGGGTTTAGGGAGGCTCTGCCCAGATCTTCCAAAACCCCTAAATTCATGACTATGCACTAATTCATCATCACTACCCTTAGTATACATTAGGGTATATTCCGTCATTAAGGGGTTTCTTGGAATATCTGGGGAAGTCGAAGAGAGAGAGTTCAGGCATGTCAGCCCCAAGCACCTCCAAACTTCAAGCAGCAACACGGCTCCTCTTCATAGTCGTAGTCATCGTAGCCGCGCTTCTTCTCCCAATCGTCTCCTGTTGGAACGCAAGATCGGCTGCAAGTCTGAGGGCTTAGGGCCTAGGGTTTAGGGTTGAGGGCGGAGGGTTGAGGGTTGAGGGTTTAGGGTTTAGGGTTTAGGGTTTAGGGTTTAGGGTTTAGGGTTTAGGGTTTAGGGTTTAGCAAAGGCCGGGCTCCGTCATCGCGTCGCGAGCGGCCCCCTTTGCTTCTGTCGTTGTACCCATTCTTGCTGGAGCTGGTGTTCCAACCTTGCTGCGACAGCTCTGCCCAGATCTTCAAAAACCCCGTAATCAATGACTATACACTACTTCATAATTACTATCCTCAGTATACACTAGGGTAGGTTCCTTAATCAAGGGGTTTGGAAGAGCTGGGTGGTTATGTTTAACCATTCTAGGGCGTGGAAAGAGCAAACAGAAGTCAGACCGGAATGCGGGATCATTCTGAGTGCCATACGGTCATCGCGCCAGTCCTCCTCCTCTTCCCACTCATCATCGTCGTAGGCCTCCATTTAGGGTTTAGGGTTTAGGGTTTGAGTTAAGGGTTTAGGGTTTAGGAACCCTAAGCCCTAAACCCTAAACCCTGCAACTGTGAAGACCTTTCTCACAGCGAAGGCAACTGCAGAGATACTGATGGGAGGGCCCTCCTTCCGTCGGCCCTTGCCGCTGCTTTTGCCGCCGCCACCAGAGGACCAACCTACAACGGTTTAGGGTTTAGGGTTTAGGGTTTAGGGTTTAGGGTTTAGGGTTTAGGGTTTGGAGTTTGGGGTTTGGGGTTTGGGGTTTTGGGTTTAGGGTTTAGGGTTTAGGGCTCTCGGGTGTACCGGGGAGATGCAATCTGCCGTTCGATGACGTCACTTGTGTGGGAAAATGGAAGGGAAGTTGAGTTCCCCCTCCTGCCCCCCGTGTCCAATAACAGACGCATCCGAAGCAGAGCAGCAATAAGCTAAGTCCACAAGATCAGATCAATCCCCACCCTGCCCGCAACAAATGAGCCATGGCTGGCGCCTGACCAACCATCCTTGGAGCGTGATCCGCCTTTTCTGTCTCGCTCCTGGACACGCCAGGACATCAAGGTGAATCTGGACATGAATGCCGCAACAAACTGGCCCGATCCGCTTGTTGAAACACGGGCAGGCAACTCAGACTAAACCCCAAACCCTAAACCCGGCAAGCAAGTCTGTCCCATGATTCCGACTCGTCATACTCGTCGTACTCGTCATATTCATCGTACTTGTCGCGCTTGCTGCGCTTGTCGGGCTTGTCGTACTTGTCGTACTTGTCGTACTTGTCATGCTTGTCGTTGCTCCACTTCTTCTCCTTCCACTTGCTGTCATCTTCCCACTCCTCCTCCCACTTGTCCTGACAAGTCGCACCAGAAAACCCTAAACCCTAAACCCTGAACCCCAAACCCTAAACCCCAAACCCTGAACCCTAGAAGATGAAGCACGCAGAGCCTTCGACTCGGGCATCTTCGGTATCCAGGACTTCAGAGTTCGTGCTCGCCCCTGGCGCTTCAAGGTCTTCCGGCTTTCGGAGCTTCAAAGGGACTTCGGGTTTAGGGTTTAAGGTTTAGGGTTTAGGGTATTGAGGTTTAGGGTTTAGGGTTGAGGGTTTAGGGTTTAGGGCTTGGGGCCTAGGGCTTAGGGCTTAGGGCGTAGGGGGAGCTGCAACGACATCAAACACTTCCTCACAAGCCGGAGCGTGACAAGAGCGAAAGACCTACTGGCTCGCAGGTCCTATCTGGTTCGCTTGAGGTGACAGAATCTAAACCTGATCCCTCAACCCTGAGCCCTGAACCAAAGCGCTAGGACTCATTTTCCGATCTGCCTGGCGCGAACCGGAGTTGTACCAATCGCCGTGGTCGTCATCCTTCACTGGGCAACCCTCGAAGGGTTGGGGGAGGGCTTGCAGCGGGTTGACGAAAACCTTAAGATCTTTTTAAACAAAATGACTCAACCTTAATCCCATCCCTCGCTACCAACCCGATTCCTCGGCAACCTCCACACTCCCATCACACGAAGAATCCCTGGTCGCCTGAATCCTAACCCTTAGCAACCCTAAACCCCTTAAGATCCGAAGGACTTTGGGGTTTAGGGCTTAAGGCTTAAGGTTGAACCTCTCGGCCACAACCCAAGAAGAAGAAACTCCCCCAACCCCCCCCCCCCCCAAACGCCTCCTTCTGCCCGCGCGACCACCCCAGCGGTGCTTTTGCCCTGCGGCGGTTCAGAGTGGAGGGCGGCCGAGGGTCTAGGGCCAATTTACGGTGCAGGAGTAGCCATCTTGTTTACAGGGGGCCTTGCTGGGTAAGCGTGAATTCAGGGCTTGGGTGCAACAAAAGGTACATGGGGTATGACTTGCTGTGAAGGTGCAAGGTGTAGTTGAAAGGTTTGGGTTTTTCTTTTCACTTTGCTCGGCTGCTGGCCACTTCAGAAACTATGTACTTGCCTTTGTGAATACAGTAAGTGAAGTTGGTTTTTCGCCATGTGCTTGACAAAAGAACTCTGTAGCTTCAACTATTTCGGTTTGGGTTGTCATCGGCTTGTTCACGATTTGCCTCTCGTTTTGCTCTCTCTCTCTCTCTCTCTTCTGCATGTCTTGTTGTCGTAATATTCCTGTCTTGAATGAATTGGGTGCTTAGTTGTCCTCACCATGCTTCTCATTGCCTTCTCCTTCAGAACCTCAATTCCCTGTACTAGCTTAGCTACAAGTATGCTCCACTCATCCTGAAACACAGAGGCCTTGTCCCCTAAGCCCCAAAGCCCTAAAAACTGAGGGTTTAGGGCCTTAGGGTTCAGGGACTCAAACCTAACCCCAAACATAACATTTCGGATGCGCTCCCCTGCCAGCAAAGCACGACGCTGTAGCAAGAACAGCGAAGAACCCTAAACCCCAAACCCCAAACCCCAAACCCCAAACCCTAAACCCCTGCTTTGCTGTTGGGGTGCGAGTACGCTTGCAACTCTCGCACGCAGAACCTCGGTGGGTAGTTCCTCCAAAGTAAGGTCGCTTTTGGGGTCCTTTTCTTAAGGGTGCCGTGGGGATCCAAAAAGGGACCCTAATTTAGAGAACTAAACCCTAAAAACCGCTAAACCCTAAAAACCCGAAACCCTAAAAAACCTCAACCCTAAACCCTAAAACCCCTAAACTCTAAACTCCGAAAACCCCTAAGAACCCTGGAAACCCTAAAACCCTGTGATCACCTAAATCTGCAAGCACAAAGGGCACCTGGGCTTCTCCTCTAAGAGCTCAAAGTACTTGTCGTGAACCCACCTGGGCGCGAAATTCTGGAGACCCTTTGATCCTGAGACCTTCTAGGGGTTTAGGGTTTGGGGTTTAGGGTTTAGGGCTTAGGGCTTAGGGTTTAGGATTGAGGGTTTAGGGTCTAAGCTGGACCTTTCGGATTAGGGGTTTCGGAGTTAAAAAGGTTTCGGGGCTTCTGGCCCTCGAGGTTTAAGGCCTTCGGGTTCAGGCCGAGGGCAGGGCTTGCCCTCGTCGTCCGGCGACGGCTTGTCCCCTCGACGCTCCTCGCGCTTCTCCTGGATGGCAGGCGTCGACCCCAAACCCTGAAGCGTTTCAGGGCTGGAAGTGTTTGAGGGTTTCAGGCTGTAGGACCCGTAAACTTTAAGGCGCTCCTCATGTTAGGGCTTAGGGTTTAGGATTTAGGGTATATTACAATGATGCATTCTTATGATGACAGAGTCGAAGACTATAAGAATGCCATGAATCCGAACATCCGACGGCCTAGAACTTCGGGAAGCAAGCTTCCACAGGGCTTCCAAAAAAGGGTTGTGCACCTTCTGAAGGGGGAACAAATCACAAGGCTTCTGGTTGGGGTGTATACTACAACTACCCCCCAAAATTGGGGGAAGTACCCACACGCACAAAAACAAGATCGGCCAGGAGGCGCAAGAGGGTTGCTTCCTGTGATATCATCGGCCATAGCTACAGCGCTGGCATGCGCAGCGCAACCCCGTGCAACCCCGTCCGTCCTTTTTGTCCTCTTTCTTGGCCTGGCATCACCGTCAAAGGCAACCCTAACAACCTCATGAAATTACCTACAGGCTCCCATGTAGCAGTTTTTTGAGGTAGAAAAACTAGAACCCCCTATAGCTCACCCAAAAAGGAACTAGGAAGGCCAAGCGGGGGCCTCATCGTCCTCCTTCTCGTCGCCCTCATCATCGGCCTGCACAAGCAGGGGTTTAGGGTTTAGGGTTTAGGGTTTAGGGTTTAGGGTTTAGGGTTTAGGGTTTAGGGTTTAGGGTTTAGGGTTTAGGATTTAGGGTTTAGGCTGAGGAAGCTGCAGGGCTCCTAAATGCCCTACCATGCCCTACCCCCACAACCACAATCATCAAGCATCTAAACCCGAAACCCTCAACCCCAAACCCGAAACCCTAAACCCTAAACCCCTTCAGGCTTCTCAAACTCCCGGCAAGGCATCTGCGATTTCAGTGTAGCATGTACCGCTTACACTTGGCTGAATGCACGGAGCTGCAAGTCCTACTCCTCTGCCTGGCGGTCGTCGTGCAGAAAGTACCGGTTGTCGCGTGGAACCTAAGGTTCTTAGGAGATCCGTGCTGCAAACAAACACAAGGAAACCCAAAAGACCGTAAACCCAAAGCCCAAGAACTCAGGCTGCAAGAGTTTCTTGGCCTTCTTGCACGCAAAACCCCAAACCCTAAACCCTAAACCCTAAGCCCTAAACCCTAAGCCCTAAGCCCTAAACCCTAAACCCTAACCCCTAGAGACCCTAAACCCAAAGCCCTGAGTCCACGAGACATGCGCTGCGAGCCTGAGGTCGACACCATCTCAGGGCCCTGGGGCAACGGCTAGATGACAACAAAAGAGTATGAGACCCGTACTTTCTTATTTTTATACTAGTGCATATGAGGCCTTTAGTACTTTTTTATTTTTATACTAGTGCATATGAGACCTTTACTTTCTTATGTTTATGCTAGTGCATGTTCACACGATTGCAAGATTGCGTGCTGGCGGCTTTGCATTTTTGCAGCATTTACGCGATTGCATGATTCAATGTTTGCCTTATGACACGATGGCATTATCGCATTATTACTCCGGTATTCGATTATTCTATCATTCCATTTTCCTTGTCTTACATTTGTTGTTATACTAGTATAATATGATAATAGTTTTAAACTGTTATAAGAGTATACGAGCATGGTAGTCTAATACTACATTATTACATTCTTACTTTCATATATGAGTATATGCTATATTAAACTGTTTTAGCAGAGGTTGACTATATTTGCGTTTACTTTTTGTCATCTCACTTGATTGCTGTTGACGGCTTGGAGTGTAGAACTACACCGCAGATGGCGTCCGCAGCGTCCCACAGCTCCCTTTTCTTCGCTGCCCGGGGTATCATATCACGGTCAGTAGCCCTAAACCCTAAACCCGAAACCCGAAACCCTAAACCCTAAACCCTAAAGTCAGTAGCCCTCAACTTCCGGCAGCTTCATGGTGAGCCGCAGCCGACCGAACTTCCCGTCGATGCGCACGATGCTCACCGCGACCTCCTGGCCGACCTCAACCTCATCCTGGGGATGCTCCACGTAACCTTAGTTTAGGGTTTAGGGTTTAGGGTTTAGGGTTTAGGGTTTAGGGTTTAGGGTTTAGGGTTTAGGGTTTAGGGTTTAGGGTTTAGGGTTTAGGGTTTAGGGTTTGTCCAGTAACCTGGGGGAATTGAAGGTTAACCTTTGGGATTCTAAGGGGATTCTACTACCCCAAAAAGGTTTAAAGGCTACCTACTCCACTACTAGGCAACCCTCGCGGATCTCGGAGACGTGCACGAAGCCTTGCACAGGCACGCCACCTGTGGGGGATCTCACTTTCACGATGATCCCGTAGGGCTCGATGCGCGTGACCGTGGCCGAAAGCAAGGCCTTGGGCGGGAGTTGGCGGAACTCGGACACATCCGAGCTGAGCTGCGTGGTCGGATCGAGCATGGTCACCTCGAGCCGCGCCTCGATCTTCCATGATACGCCTTCTTTGACTTTGTAGGAGAGCGGCCGTATGCCACATATCCAGACTTCGACCTCCTGTCCTATATGGAGCTCCTCTTCGATGGCCCCTCCTTCGGGGAGGATCCTGCTCGCATGTAGCGTCGCATCGGTGTCCAGCCCAACGTCCAGCAGCGCATAGGACTCAAAAATGTCTTTGACAGTCCCTCGCAACTTCGTGCCCACCTTTGGATCGCCCGAGTGCAGCCATCGCTTGGGAGGCCTCCGCCCGAGGTCTGCGCGCCCTGACGCAGCTGACGCAGCCCGGCTCCGAGACGCTCCGCGCCAGAAGAGCAAGGAGGAAACTGAAGAAAGCACGGGAGCAGCAGTGGCCCCCAGGATCCGACTGTGGCCTCGTCGAGCGCACCTCTCTATCGTCGCAGCCACCGGTGTAGCCGGCACCACAGAGGCCGTCCATGGTTGGGAAAGCATGTCGAGGTGATGATGCTTACGGATGTTTGCCTGCTAGATTCTCAAAACGTGCATGGTCTCGTCGACTTGTTTTCTGTCTACCCTTTTGGGCCCCGAAGGATAGAGGTCAGGCAAGGTGCGGTTCAGCCTGCCAGCAGCGAGGGGCACGAACACACGAAGGCTAGGCAAGGCCGGCCTTGTACCAGGACTGCTCGTACTCCTGCAATCGACAGGGGCAGAGCTCTCACCACCGAAGCTACATCGGGGGGGGGGGGGTGGGGCCTTCCCAGCTTTGCGCTCTCCCGCCGCGCCGTCTTCATCATCAGGATCTTCACCTTAGAGGCATGGTGCTGAACGTATAAAGACCCTATGCAACCAGACAAGCACTCAGGATGAGAGCCCATCAGGCGCGGCACCATCCTCGTAGGCCTCCTCCTCTTCGCCCTCCTCAGCCTCCTTGGCCTTCTTCTTGGCCTTCCGCGCCTTCTTCCGGGCCTCCTTCGCCTCCCGGGCCTCCCGCGCCTCCTGGGCCTCTTGGGCCTCCTGCTCAGGGGCCTCCTGGGCCTCAGGGGCCTGGCCTTCTTCCTCCTGCACTGTGGGGCTCTTCACCCTCAACCCTAAACCCTAAGCCCTAAACCCCAAAAGCAACCTAAGCCCTAAACCCTAAATCCCAAAAACCCCAAACACAAAACCCAAACCCCAAACAACCTAGGACCTCCCCTAAACCAACCTTGGGATGTTCCCCTTATGCCAACATAGCAGGGATTATAACAGGGGGTTCTAAGGGCTGTTAGTATAAGGGGGAACATATCCCAACCCTAAACCCCAAACCCCAAACCCCAAACCCTAAACCCTAAACCCTAAACCCTAAACCGAAGTTGTCCTCCGTGGCCTTCGAGACCTCGGCCGGCTGGGCCGGGGTCTCCTTGGCCTCTGCCTCTTCGAAGCCCTCCGAGGCCTGTTCTGGGGCTTCCTGGGGTCTTTCGGGGCTTGTTTAGGGTTTAGGGTTTAGGGTTTAGGGTTTAGGGTTTAGGGTTTAGGGTTTAGGGTTTAGGGTTGCAGGGTTTAGGGTTCAGGGTTTAGGGCTTAGGGTTGTTATCGGGTTTGGGGCTTTGGGTCCCTTGCATGGTTCCCCATGACGATGTGAGGCCTTCTATTTCGGGTAGCGGCCCCAGACTGAGGGACTCCCATGCAGGCTACCAGGGCTCAGAAATTTAGGGGGTTAGGGTTTAGGGTTTAGGGTTTGGGGTTTAGGGTTTAGGGTTTAGGGTTTAGGGTTTAGGGTTTAGGGTTTAGGGTTTAGGGTTGCAGGGTTTAGGGTTTAGGGCAGAGGGTTTAGGAAGCGGAAATGCGGTTTAGGGTAGCTTCTCAACTTGCTGGTGACCGCGGGGGCCTTCTCAGCGGGCGCCGCTGTTTCCTCGGTCTCCTTAGTGGGCTTTTCTGCTTTCTCCTTCTCGTCCTGAGGTACTCTCGCGGAATACAAACGAGAGAACGTATTCGCCAAAAACATTAAGGGTTTATGACTACTGTTACAATAAGAGCCTCGTTTGAATGTATGTCAATAGGGGCTCAAGGTTAATAGATTATTGTACGTTATCGCCAGTACATGGTCCAGGGTCGAAGGACACAGGGTCTCCCACACTGTAGGACTGTAGGAGAGCGGGCTTGATCAAATGCAGGAGTAAGCCAGACACAACAACATGGGAGGAAACTGCCCACGTCAGGGACGGCGAGGCCAAGGAACCTACAACGCAGAAGGTTCCGAGGCTGAGTGGTGCCAGAAAGCTGGGAGGACAGGCTTTCGCGGGGAAACAAAATAGGAAGAGCGAGCCTCACGCGATGCTACGCTGTCAAGTCTCCCCTAACCCCAAGCAATCCTCCTCCCCCAAAATAACCCCAAAGCCCCTCAGCACCTCCTAACCAACCCCTGAACTACTTTCCACTCGCCCGACCCGCCCAACCAAGAACCATGCTCCCTTGGGCGGGCTGCTCTCACCCAATACGCCCTTCAAAACCTGAACCGCTAAAACGGCAGAGGCCTCACTGGGCTCGCTCTCGGAAATGTGCGAACCCGCACTTCCGAAGGCGTCCTCCTAAAATGAGGCATCAGGTTTGGGGGGTTTCAGGTTTCAGAAGGGTTTGGAGTTTAGGGCTTAGGGCTTAGGGTTTAGGGTTTAGGGTTCTTGGGGGCTTGATAGAAGCCCGAAGCGGCGCAGGGCGTCGCACCTCGTCCTCCTCTTCTTCTGGTCCGGCTCTTCTTCTTGGCGCCATGGCCTGACGGGATGCTCATCCCCTCAAACCCTAAACCCTAAACCCTAAACCCTAAACCCTAAACCGTAAACCCTACACATGCTTCAAGTGCTGAAACCACCTGCCTGGGACAAGGGGCCCGGTGAAAACCACTGAAGCCGTCTTGAGCCCCAGATGAGTCCGAGGGGTCTCGAGCACCACGAGCTGACGATGGCTGAAGATTATAGTCTTATAGCACATGAGTGAATATCAGTTTACCTCGCAGAATTATGAACTTTAATATATATGTGTATATATATGTGTATATATATATGTATGTACGTATATGTCTACTGTAATTTTCTTATGCATTGGTTCATTTTGTTTTTTATGTATTCATATTTATACGTATTTATTTGTCTATTTATTTACTAACAAGGAACCTGGCTCGGAACGCACACAGTTGCCACGACAGACAGCTCCGAGCACCGCAGTTTTGCCGTCCAAGTTCCGCACGTGCTGCAAACATCGGAGTCTACTCAGTAAGCACAGGGTTATCTTACAATGTCTGTCATATGGCTTGACAATCAAAAAGGCCGGGTTTGCGTGAGGCGTCAGCTCTCCATCACTTGGCACCTTTGCGACTCCAAGGACCAGGCCACCCGGCTTACTGTAACTATTTACATCCCCCTCCCCGCACGGCTTAACAGGTGCACAGCTTGAGGGCTTAGGGTCCTACGCCTGAGCGCGTACTCTAGCTGGGCATCGCACCCTTGGGCTTCTCATAGGCCTGCAGGCAGAGTGCAAGCATCACAGCAGCTGTTACCATTGTCGAAGAAGGACTGAATCAATCAACTTCAAATCAACGAAACAAGCACTTTTCTAAGACTCGAGGTGCTGAAGCAGGAACGTGTCACTCTAAAGGCTGCCGGAGGATGCGCGCAGAAGCATGTGCACCGTGAAATGAGCGACGTCCGCTTGGGGGTCCCTGCATGGACGAAGCAAGAGCACGACTGCAGGATAGACTTACAACAGCCTCATCGTAGGTCTCATCCCAGGTCCACTTCATCAGCGGCCTCTTGCACTGAGAGAAAGCGGGGAGAAAAAAAGAGCCAAACCCTAAACCCTAAACCCCAAACCCCAAACACTAAACCCAAACACTAAACCCAAACCCACGCTATCTAACAGCGGAGGAATTCCCAGGACACCGATTCTCTGAGGTGGGGATCCGCGAGCGCCCAGATTAAAGGCAAAAAGCAGGGGAAAACAAGATCCAAACCCTAAACCCTAAACCCGAAACCCTAAACCCTAAACCCTAAACCCTAAACCCATGAGGCTCAGACTGCTCCGTGAAGATGTGGGCCGGTCCGGGCCTCGTTTGCTGTAACTTCTTCCCTTTTGAGCCAAGGGTCAGGGTTTAGGGGTTTAGAGTTTAGGGTTTAGGGTTTAGGGTTTAGGGTTTAGGGTGTGCCAAGCCTGACGCGCGGCTGCTTGTTGCCCGCCCGACCCTCCCGGTGTTCGTTGTGTAATCAATTTTTCTTTTTTTCTTTTTCTCACCCCCTTCTCTAAATTACAATCACGTCGCGCGGAAGTTGAGTTGTAGCCGAAGGATGCAACTTAACTTGCGCGCAGATGTTTAAGAAAAAAAAGTTATTGGAGAAACCTGAGGGAAGTTTTCCTCCGAACGGCCGCCGCCAGAATAACAGCACGAGGTTGTTGATGAGGTGACACGGTCCAGATTACGGGAGACAACGATCGGAGCAGAGACAGAGTCCGGGTTGCGCGTGAAACTACCTGGGTGCCGCCAGAATAGCAGAACATCGGTTGGAGCAACCCGAGCAGAGAGCTGGGGTCCAGGTTTCACATGAAACCATGTGGCTGCCGCCACAACAAAAGATTGTGGGCCCAGATTGTTTCTCTCGGACGGTCCGGGTTTTACGCGAGACTACCTGGCTGCCGCCAGCAAAACGTCGCTTCCTCTCAGAAGAGACCAGCGTGCATGCTCTTGATCCGTGGGCAAAACAAAGTCTTTTTTCAGAAGAGAGACAACACGCACGCTCTTGATCCGTGGGAAACTACCGGCTGCCCTGCAGGCCGTGTCCAGTCTGCCGAACCGCGGAGTACCAGGGTCCAGATTTTGCGGGGGGGTCCCTGGCTGCCGCCAGAAGACTGTGGTTTCAAGGAGTAGTGTCGGAGTTTTTGCTCTGGGCTCCTTGCCGTGTCCAGTCTGCCGAACCGCGGAGTACCAGGGTCCAGATTTTGCGGGGGGGTCCCTGGCTGCCGCCAGAAGGGGGGAGGAGGGGCGAAGATGGGGGCAAGGGAATGAGGGGGAAAACAAAAAAAGAGGGGACCCCCCAAACCCCCGACAAACCGGAAGAGCAGAAGGAAGGAGTGAGATGGAAAGCACAGAAGGAGGGAGGTTAGGGGTAGAGATAGGCGTGGGGGGGAAACGGAAAGAGTGGGAGATGGGGTAGGAGTGATTGACCTGCGGTTTCAAGGAGATGTCAGAATTTTTGGCTCTAGGGAGAAACCCTAAAAGTAGCAATGTCCGAAAAGCTCCATCCACTCACTGCTCATAAACGATCGGGAGAAGCCCGACACGCCGTACCAAATCGCAGTAACGATAGCCCCCCCCATCACCAGTCAATTTCAGTACTAAAAAAGAAAAAAAATCGTCATTTTTAACTGTGCCGGCCGATCCTGGGGTCCCCCTCATGTGGGGTGTTTTTGGAGTCAAACTTTCCCTCTCATGGGGGGGTCGGATTTTGGCAAGGTGTGCTCCTGAATAAATACAAATTTGCTTTGAAAAATGGAAAAATAACGCGCGACCCCCCCTTGACCAAACTTAGGCCTGAAAAAGGTCGCTGGGGGGGCGGCCTTTCCTCAAATTGAGTGTTAAAAAAAAAAAAACAAAAAAAAAAAAAAAAAAAAAAAAAAAAAACAAAAAAAAACAAAAAAAAAAAAAAAAAAAAAAACAAAAAAAAAAAAAGATAACCTTGAAACAGCCTGAAAAAACATTGAAAAAACCTTCAACAGCCTGGAAATTTTTTGAAAAAAACAAATCCTTGAGAACCCTTAACAACCCCGAAATCCTAAGAAGGCTCGGTCTTGGCCAAACTCCAGGCAGCGAGAGCCCACCCAAAAAAAACCGTCGATTTCAGTTTACTAAAAAAAAAAAATCGCATTTTTACTGGGACACGGCCGACTGGGTCCCCCTCATTTGGGGTGGTTTTGGGAAGCAACGTCCCCCCCAAGGTGGGTCGGAGTTTTTGAAGCAAGGGGGTCCTCCGAATACTAAATGCTTTGAAAATGGAAAATACGACCACCCCTGGACCAAAATTAGGCCCTTGGAAAAAAAAAAGGTCCGCGAGGGTCCGGCGGGGGTGGGGGGGGGGTCGGTGGACCCTTTGCTGGAAGTCCCTAAAGGCTCCCAGCAGCTTGAAAGCTCGAAGAGCTCTGGGACTTCAAAAAGCATTGGTGCCTTCCTCGAATTAGGACTTTAGGATCAACCGGTGAAGGCTCGGTTTGGTCCCAAAATCCATACCACCAGACCGTCGATTTCGTATTAAAAAATAGCCTTTTTAATTTGGGACCCGGGCCGATCCTGGGTCCCCCTCATGTGGTTTGTTTTTGGAGTCAAACTTTCCACTCCTCAGGGGGGGTCGAGTGTTTGAGCAAGGGGGGGTCCTCCTAATACTAAATTGCTTTGAAAATGGAAAAATACACCCCCCCTTTACCAAAATTAGCTGTGAAACAAAAAAAATAGCTCGCGGGTCCCTGTGGCCCTTAAGTACCCCTAAAAGGCTCCGAAAGGCAGCCTTGAAAAGCTCTCGAAGAGGCTCTGGGGGCAACAAAAACCCCTGGGAAAGCTCCGGGAAGCTTGTAGGCTTCGAATTTTTAAGGATTTAGGAATTTCATGCATGCCGGGTATTGGGGTGAAGTTTTACAGTTCTGACCTTTTAGTCCCATTACGGGGGCCTGCCGAGGAGGAGAGGCTGCAGAGGCTGCCACACCCTCTGCATAGTGGGTGTCTTGACGGCTTCCTGATCGTCCGCGAGGCCCGCTTCGCGACTAGTTCCGCGCTCCTGCGCCAAGACTTTAGGGGTGTAGGGTTTAGGGTTTGGGGTTTAGAGTTAGGGTGTAAAGGGTTTGGGGTTTTAGGGTTTTATGGTTTAGGGTTTGGGGTTTAGGGTTTAGGTTTATGGGTTTAGGGTTTAGGTTTAGGGTTTAGGTTTAGGGTTTAAGGGTTTAGGGCTAACAAAAAACAGGCAGGCGTGGTGGAAGAAGAAAAACAACAAATTATACTGGCCCCCCTTGAAAGATAATTATCATGGGCCCTGAAGCCCCCTATTTTGAAAGCCCTTTAAACTCTGCGTCCCAGCGCTGGAGTCAGGCATAGCTTGCAATTACGAGGTTTAATAGGAACCCTAAAAACCCCAAACCCGAACCCAGACAATGAGACCAGCTTGTCAATGATTCCATCAGGAAGAGCGCGGTGAGGGAACACAGTTCCGGCTCCATGTTTAGGGTTTAAGGTTTAGGTTTAGGTTTAGGGTTTAGGTTTAGGGGTTTTAGGGTTTTATGGGGTTAGGTTTAAGGGTTTATAGGGCTACAACAGGTCAGAGAGAGCAGCCGCCCTAGGTTTTTCGGTTTTGGGGGCAAAAACAAAAAAAAAGAACAAAAAAAAGTCAAAGAAATAGAAACAAAAAGGAGAGACTGTTGGTATAGCTCCCATGAACCTTCAAGTTGCTTTAGGGTTTAGGGTTTTAGGTTTAGGGTTTAGGGTTTAGGGTTTAGGGTTTTGGGTTTGGGGTTTAGGGTTTAGGGTTTAGGGTTTTGGGTTTAGGGTCTAGGGAAGGACTGGTTTAGATGTATGGCATATGAACAGGGCCCTATAGGCATGGCAGGGCACACAAGCGCCTAAACCCTCGAAAAAGTTTGAGGACTTCTTGGGGGCGGTGGGGTCACAGGAGCCCCGCCACCCTGAACCCTTGACCCTACTTTAAGGTTCAAGGGATAGCTAGAAGTAGGGTTACGTGTACCCCTAAACCCTACAACCACACTTATAACTACCATGAACAACCCGGAACCCTTGACCCTAAACCCCGAAACCCTAAACCCTAAGCCCTAAACCCTAAGCCCTAAACCCTAAACCAAACCTCAACCCTAAACCCTAAACCCTAGACCCCTAGACCCTAAACCCTAAACCCGAAACCCTAAACCCACCAATCTCGAAGGAGCTCGGCCCCGCACGCCAGGTCATCCGTCTCCTTGAAGCGGACGAAGCTCGTGCGGCCTGAGCAAGTTGTAGGGTTTAGGGTTTAGGGTTTAGGGTTTCGGGTTTAGGGTTTAGGGTTTCGGGTTTAGGGTTGAGGGTTTAGGGTGTAGAGTTTACAGTTGACCCCCCTCCCCCCACCTGACTGCGCGGCACCACCTGGCAGCGTCTACAAACCTGCACCCTGAAGACTCCCTGAAATCTCCCAGCCCTGAGCCAGAAAAAACTGGAACCAGAAACTCTGAGAACCCCAAACCCTAAACCCCAAACCCTAAACCCCAAATCCTAAGCCTAAGCACCGGACTGTTGACAGACACCCTAAACCCTAAACCCTAAACCCTAAACCCTAAACCCCAAACCCCAAACCCCAAACCCCAAACCCCAAACCTAAACCTCTCAACCCTCAACCCGAGGTCCCCAGCCCAAGCAGAAGTTGGTCTCCTCGATGGCCCAGTCGTTGCTCCTGGGCGCTGTGTCACACTGCGTCGGCTTCCGTGGGTCCGTGAGGCTCCAGGAGTTTGGGAGGTTTAAAGGGGCTTCGGGTTTAGGGTTTAGGGTTCGGGGTTTGGGGTTTGGGGTTTGGGGTTTAGAATTTAGGGCTTGGGGGTCTGATTGTTGGCGTTTGACAGCTCAACCCTTGGGGTTTAATGCCACTCACAGAAGTGCATGGGCAGTAGACCCCAAGATGGCGGAACCTTTAAAGAGCTGGCCGATCGTTGGGTTTAAGGCTTAGGGTTCAGGGTTTGGGGGTTTAGGGGGTTATTTAGGGTTGAGGGTTTAGGGGTTACGGGTTTAGGGTTTAGGGTTTAGAAGGTTGAACCACAACGTTTCTGGGGTTGATGATTCAGGGTTCAAGGCCCCTGGCAGCTCGGGACCCAAGTCGAGGGTGCGAGGTTGTTTTCCTAAAAAGAAAGGGACCTATCAACGCATCGGTTTCTATCGGAATTTGCCGTACCTTTGAGAACTTTGACCGCCGTGGGGGGGGGGGGGGTGGGTCCAGGTGTGACCGTATATATACATATACATATATATATATATATACATATATATGTATATGTCTATATGCATATGCGAAGATATATATATACACACATATACATATACATATACATATACATATACATATACATATACATATACATATACATATACATTTACATATACATTTACATTTACATATCCACATAATATATATATATATATATGTACACATATATATGTGTGTATGCGTATATGTATATAGGTACATATGAAGATATATATATATATATATGTATGTATGTATGTATGTATGTATGTATAAATATGTATGTATGTATGCGTATATGTATATAGGTACATATGAATATATACATATATATATATACATACTTGGATGCATATTTCTATTGATACTTCTTTTCTTCACACCCTTGTATTGCATTTGTATGCACATATTATCCTTGGCTGGCCCTGCAAGCCGGGGCTTTTGGGACACGCTTGTGGGATCTCCCCAAGCTCCCGGCTTCTTGACCAGCTGATCGTCGGTGACTTCCTGACCCTGGTACTCAGAGAAGAACCTGGCTGCTTGTGTAGGGGCTAGGGCTTAGGTCTTAGAGTTTAGGGCTGAGAGTTTAGGGTTCAGGGTCTAGGGGTTACGGTTTAGGGAGCTTCGGGCTTGTTTTTTGAGGAGGCTGGGTGGAGCTTCAAGGGGGAGACAGTAAGGCTGGAAGGCTTTTATGGGGCTTTGGGGAGCTTTTTGCCTGGAGCTTCCACCTGGGTTTGAGGTTTAGGGGGTTAGACTTTAGGGTTTTTAGGAGTTTCAGGTTTTGGGGTCTGGGGCAATTTTCGGGACATCCGGGTCCTTAGTGTGGTGCCCCGTCCCGGCGCCTGAACCCAAAAGGGCTTCTCAAGGCTTAGCAGTGCAGCATGCGTGGGGCAGGCCTCCTGGCCCATAAAGGAGTGTCGAGGATGGTTCCGGGCGTCCTAAAACCCTCACAACCCCACCCCCCCTCTGAGCCCGACAATTTCCACCTACTAGTTGCTCAAGAATCCCCCCCCAAAAATAGAGATACTCTTCCTTACAAGGGTAATGTAAGTTCTTGGCGAGGTTCCGAAGCAAAAGCAGCAACCAAACCTCTACAAAACCCCGAAAACAACATCGACACCCTCGAAGCCCAGAAACCCTAAACCCTAAACCCGAAACCCTCAACCCTCAACCCTCGAAGCCCAAGCCTCTTGCCCGCGGCCAGAGGCGCCAAGGGGGCCACGGGGGCCTTTCCCACGCGCAGGGCCAATCCACCGAAGCGTCGTGCCAGCCTGGCGAAGGGGGTGGCCAACTTGAAGGTTCACGGGTACTTCGGAATAGGGTTTAGGGTTTAGGGTTTAGGGCTTAGGGTTTAGGGCTTAGGGCTTAGGGCTTAGGGTTTAGGGTTTAGGGTTTAGGGTTTAGGGTTTAGGGTTTAGGGTTTAGGGTTTAGGGTTTAGGGTTTAGGGTTTAGGGTTTAGGGTTTAGGGTTTAGGGTTTAGGGTTTGGGGCAGAAGGAGGGTGGCTGCAGCTTTCACCCTACTTCAACCTTCAGCTGAAATTCCTCCCATCATGGAGTTGCTCCGACCCCTAAACCCTAAACCCTAAACCCTAAACCCTAAACCCTAAACCCCAAACCCAAACCCTAGACCCTGCCCTCTTCGCCCGCGCCTACAAAAATGGCGTGCCAGGTTTGGGGGAACAGAAGATAGGGGTCGGAATAACTTATACGAAGAGTATTCCCTTGTGGCCCCTTATATAAGTATACCATAGCGACCCCCGAAAAGCCCTGTTCCAGCTCTGAAGGCCCTTATACTGCGCTCAGCTGCCCTGAACCCTAAACCCTAAACCCTCAAGCCCCCTGTAACTTGAAATTATGATGAAAATCAAAAAAACGAAACTCCTCGAAACTTTCCCCGGACCTGAACCCTTAATAAATTAAGTAAACCCTAAACCCTAAACCCAAAGCCCTAAACCCTAACTAAACCTTTCCTCAGCCCGAGTGGCATGATGCTTGGTGTCGATCTGCGGAACTCGGGGGGGAAGAAGCTTGGAGCTTGGAGCCCAACTTCAGGTCAAGCTGCATCATGGTTTAGGGTTTAGGGATTTTAGGGTTTAGGGTTTAGGGTTTAGGGTTTAGGGTTTAGGGTTTAGGGTTTAGGGTTTAGGGTTTAGGGTTTAGGGTTTCGGGCAGCTTGAAGCAAGGAAGACTGCCACATGGCCTGTTGCAGGTAAAACTCAAGTAGGTCTGGCAGACCCTCCTTTTCCACACTCACCAGATCGCCAAGGCACTGGCGCAAACTCCTGGCTACCGGAGGCACTTCCGTGCCACCAGCATAGCAACGGCAACCGGAGCTGGACGAGTCCCGGAGACAAGTTCCACCCAAGACTCCCACATGCAAACAAGATACTCTGTGTTGTGACAAACGAACAAGTGTGCCGAAGTCTCTCTCTTAAGCGTACCAGGCTCGATGTACGGTATCTGTGAAGGCTGGCAGCTAGCACGATGCAACACGGCTCCGAGCATTTCGCCACGTGCTGGCAAGCTGCTTCTTCGCTGGTGTTCTGGGTAGTAGTCTGCGCTAGTGGTGCAATTCCCCCTAATCGAGCGAAGAGCCACACTGCCACCCTCGGTCGGAGCTCTCAGATGTCCATGCGCGGGTCGCGGTATCGTGCCAGCATCTGGCAGGGCTCTGAACACAGCAAACAAGCTTCAAAGCCGAACTCGCAGATGATATCTATAGGATATATTGTCTATTCTTTTGTTATACGATAGTAGAGTCAATAATATTGTATATAGCATGTTTGAAAAAGAATATAGCATCTTTTTCTGATTTTTGTATTTTGTATTTCCTACCATTGCATCATATCAGTGTATTCTAGTATGCTGTACTGTATTCTACATACAAAATTTTTACATGCATGTCTATATCTGCACCTACAGTAGTGGTCGTCGTCATGGTCGTCGTAGCAGCCCCAAACCCTGAACCCTCAACCCATGCTCTGGCTGGCAGTCTGGTTTAGGGTTTAGGGTTTAGGGTTTAGGGTTTAGGGTTTAGGGTTTAGGGTTTAGGGTCTAGGGTTTAGGGTTTAGGGTTTAGGGTTTAGGGTGAACCGCAGCCAGGAAACGTCCCAGTAATGATCAGCTTGCCGGTCCTTGGACACATGGCTTTCAAGTGCAAGAAAGCCTTCGGGAAACCCTGACAGAAGGGTTTCAGGGTTCAGGGTTAGGGAGTAGGGTTTAGGGTTTAGGGTTTGGGGTTTAGGGTTTAGGGTTTGGGGTTTAGGGTGTAGGGTTTAGGGTTTAGGGTTTAGGGTTGGGGAACTCCAACAAGGGAGAAATAAGCCAGATAAGTGTTCGGAATAGACCTTTCAGGAAGACTACCCTTTTAGAACTCCCCAGAACACAGCACCGTACAGCCGCTGATGCAGGTGCCCAGTACTTCCCTAAACCCTAAACCCTAAACCCTAAACCCTAAACCCTAAACCCTAAACCCTGCACCCTACACCCTAGCCCCCCTAAACCCTAAACCCTAAACGCAAAACCATAACTGAACGCTGGGAGCGCGGCGTTGAGGAGCTTTCGAGCCTCCGGCTCGTTCCTGACGTGGCTCACCTGGCGATAAGCCAAGACAGCAGCTTCATTTGGGATGTTCCCCCCTTATACTAACAGTCCTTAATAAGGATTACAGTACCCCCCATCATGTCAGGAAAGGGGGGAGGCCCCGAGATGTCATCAAAAACCTAAATAAAAGCTGAAAGGGAGCCCCTCAGTAAACCCTAAACCCTAAATCCTAAACCCTCAACCCAAAACCCTAAATCCTAAACCCTGAACCCTACATGCCAACCCCTAAACCCTAAACCCTACCTCCCGGCCTTCCAGTTCTTGAAGCTTCGCTGCTTCACCACACCTTCCCAAACGAGGACCTGGTGCGGCATTGTCTCCAGGAGAGAGGTAGAGAGAGAGAGGTAGAGGTAGAGGTAGAGGTAGAGGTAGAGGTAGAGGTAGAGGAAGAGGAAGAGGTAGAGGAAGAGGAAGAGAAAGAGGAAGAGAAAGAGAAAGAGAAAGAGAAAGAGAAAGAGAAAGATGATCTCAAACAGAGTGTATATGTGCAATGGGGGAAGCAACCAAGCAAAGTGAGCAACCGCTCCAACAAGACCTAGAACTCTCTAAGTCCCCTGCCTTCAAAAACAGCAAGGCCCTAAACCCTAAACAACCCCTAAACCCTAAACCCCTAAACCCGAAACCCCAAACCCTAAACCCTAAACCCTAAACCCTAAACCCTAAACCCTAAACCCTAAACCCTAACGGAGCCCTCAGCTCCGGGCACAGTGGTCCTGGAGCTTGGGGGCCGTCACCTCATCCTGGTCCTCGTCATCATCGTCCTTCCAGCGTTGCTTGCTTCAGAGCCTTAAGGGGTGTAGGGTTTAGGGTTTAGGGTTTGAGGTGTAGGGAGTTTAGGGAGTTTAGGGAGTTTAGGGAGTTTAGGGAGGTTAGGGAGGTTAGGGAGGTTAGGGTTTAGGGACTAAGGCGACTAAGGGCTCGGGGACTTGTCCAGGTTTTTGGGGCTTAGGCCTTAGGGCGACGGTATCAAAACCGATTGGGAACCTTCGGGAGTAGGATTTCTAGAGGTTTGGGGTTTTAAGTTCAGGGCCAGAGGGGTTTGGGGCAGAAGAGCCCGTGGAGATCGAGGGGTTTCGGGTGTAGGGCTCCGGGTCAGCTTGGGTGGTTGAGGCTGAGCCTTGAACACCAGACCCCTCCAACCATACGACAACGATCTTCACGATTTAGGGAAATCCCTCACTTGGTTGGTGGGGGGGGGGTTCCACAAATAGGGATACCCTTTTTGGGGGTCCCTTTAAGGGGATTCTCTTCTGTTTGGGGTATAAAAGGGGTACCCCCATTTTGGGAAATACCCACTTGGCCAGCACTGAACTCCTCGTCAGCTTGCTCTTCGGTCCACTTGATCCGCCTCACTGGCGATCTTTAGGGTTTAGGGTGAGGGTAGGGGGGCAGCAAAGAGAGCTGGGCTGGGAAGTGTAACCAACATTCAGGCTTCGATACGTTGGCAGCGCATGTGGCTCACTAAAACGCGAATCCGAAGCTGTCTAAACCCTAAAGCCTAAACCGCCCTAAACCCTAAACCCTGTTGCCTGATCATGAGCTTCTTGTATCGCTTGATGGCACGCGGGCCACCCTCCACCACAACGATGTTGGCAACCTCAGCCACCCCAACAAGATGGGAAACAAATTTTAGCTGATGCCGCAGTGCCGCACAGTAGCCAATAGGGCTGGAGGGCTTGGATCTCTAGGCAGCCCATTTGCTGAGGCACGGGCGCCAGGGCAGGCTATGCAGCAACCTGTGAGGTGGAACTGCCTGCAAAGATGAGACGGTATGCAGCGCGGCTGCAGTTCTGATGAGCTGATGAGGGGCGTGGTGTTTCCGGGCTTTGTTAGGGGGGGGGGGGGGTATACTCGGCCCTCATCCCACAGCCCCCTAAACCCTAAACCCTAAACCCTAAACCCTAAACCCTAAACCCTAAACCCGCCCCAAACAAGCCAGCTTCACTGTGCGTTCATATCGATCTTGAACAAGTGCCTTGGGATGCAGGCTGCCCGAGTCCCTGCAGGGTTCTGGGAGGTGATAGGGTTTAGGGTTTAGGGTTTAGGGTTTAGGGTTTAGGGTTTAGGGTTAAGGGTTTAGGGTTTAGGGTTTAGGGTTTTTGGGAGGTTTGGGTCTGTGCTTGGAGGTTCGTGGGTAGCTGCAGCTGGGGCTACCCGTCGGCAACACATATCGTGGCTGCTTATGACCCTTGTCATAAAAAAGAAACGCGAAACCCGAAACCCCAAACCCGAAACCCTAAACCCTAAACCCCTAAACCCTAAACCCTAAACCCTAAACCCTAAACCCTAAACCCTTAAACCCTAAACCCTAATGAACCCTCGAGTTGCGTTGCTGCTCCTGGGACCCCCACTTCTTGTTCGCCAGGTCTTTGATCTTGAACACGAGCACCTGAAACCCATCGCGCCCGCGGAATGTAGAGGTTTGCGGTGAGGGTGTTTTTTTTTCTGTGGCTTGGGCCGGAGGGGACAAAAAAAAAAACTCAAAACAGCCTCAAACCTCTCACCCTCAACCTTCACCCCCCCCCACCCCCCCCCCACCCCCCCAAAAACAAATCTGGCGCGCCCTTGTTGGACATCTCTCGGGTATTTCGGGGCCCGGGGGTGCAGGCCGATCAGGCTGGGATCCTGGAAGCCTTCCGGCTGCTAGCCCAGGTGAGGAGGTTCGAAGCTGTGAACATGGGTTTTAGGTTTAGGGTTTAAGGTTTAGGATTTAGGGTTCAGGGTTTAGGGGTTCAAGCACCTTTCTAGTGTTTAGGGCTCAGGGGGAAGCAGCACGGCAGCGGGAAGAGTCAACTGAGAGCTGGCGCCTGCACCACTGGTTCGCCTTCTGCCATCCTCACACGAGCGCATTTGACAGAGCCTATGCAAGCTAGTTCTAAACTCAAAACACACACATACATTTAAAAAATAATAATATATATATATATATAGATATATATATATGTATATATATATATGTGTACGTAAAGCGCGAGGCTTGACGAGCGCTCTGTTTTGGGCTTCGGCCTTCAAGCTGGCCTAGAGCTCAGGGGAAGGGAGCCGTTGAACCCTAAACCCTAAGCCCTAAACCCTAAACCCTAAACCCTAAACCCTAAACCCTAAACCCTAAACCCTAAACCCGTGCTTCGGCGTGCAGACTTTTGGGTGGGGGTTGGGGGGCACCGGACAGTCAGTTTAGGGTTGGGGTTTGGGGTTTGGGCTTTAGGGTGTAGGGCTTAGCGCGAGGAGTTCTTGCCACCAGGAAGCCATTTCTGCTTCTTCTTTTGCTTCCGCTCTTCTGCGGGAAGCCTGCGCGCCTCACAGCAACCAGGACGCGGGCTTCTCAACGCGGCTCGGGCTTCTCAGAGGGTTTAGAGTTTAGGGTTTAGGGTTCAGGGTTTCGGGTTTCGGGTTTTAGGGTTTAGGGTTTTGGGTTTCGGGTTTAGGGTTTGGGGTTTTGGGGGACCTTACCTCCACCACCCCACCCAAAAGGCTCCTCGTTGCGCTGCTCGTGCTCCTTCCGCCGCTGCTCCACCTGCTGCCTCCCACGACAAGATCATCCAGGATTGAGGGTTTAGGGTCTAGGGTCTAGGGTTTAGGGTTTAGGGTTTAGGGTTTAGGGTTTAGGGTTTAGGGTTTAGGGTTTGGGGTCTAGGGTTTAAGGTTTAGGGTTTAAGGTTTAGGCGGTGTCTCCCGAAGTCAAGACGAAACAGCCTGCAGCCCTCGCCCTGCAGAAACTGGAAACTACCCGGGAGCCCCAGATGTTGATCCTTGGACCGTTCTTGCGCTGCTCGATTTCTAGAACCGGTTAGGGTTTAGGACTTAGGGTTGAGGGCTTTCGTTCTAGGATTTCGGGTTTTGGGGTTGAGGTGGGCTTAGGGTTTAGGGTTCATGCTTCAGGGGTTCATGCTTCAGGGTTCATGCTTCAGGGTTCAGTGTTTAGGATTCACAGTTCAGGCGTTTGATCCTTTTTGACCCTGCGTTCTGAGCACCCCGCCTGACTTTTCGCTCCACCGTGGAGGGGTCAGCAACGGCCTGCACACAGAGCTTCAAATTACAGCAAGAAGGATCTTAAAGGCTACCCTATACACCAAAAATCCACAGTAAAGATAGTCGTGTAGTAGCACGAAGAATATAAACAATGATCATGATGGTAATGGTATTGGGACAAAATCGCGGGTCGAAAGTCCCTTGCCAAGGCATCAAACCTAGACAGGTGAGTACAAACCTTTAGATTTTTCAGGGTTTTAGGGCCGCAGAGTTAAGCCTCGGAGTTGGAACACAACCCTAAACCCTAAACCCTAAACCCTACAACGCTTGCAAGTGCAAAAGTGACACCGGCGCCACGTGCAAACGTGGGCCCGGCCTCATCTCCCAGGACGCGCATCAAGTTGGCCATCTTCACCTCAACAACAAGCAAGCTCCCAAAGGCCTTAAGGCCTGAACACCTGCACTCGTGCTGCCTACGTAAACCCTAAACCCTAAACGCTAAACCTACACCCTTCCAGGCCTTCGGCGGTGGGGCCTGCAGGATACCCATCTTAATCTTATCGCGGATCTCCTGCGTTCTCTCCTGACCTTGGCGAAGGAAGGGTTTGCCCCAACCCCCTAACCGCTGAAGCCTAGGGGTTTAGGGTTTAGGGTTTAGGGTTGAGGGTTTAGGGTTTAGGGTTGAGGGTTTAGGGTTTAGGGTTTCGCCTAGACTTACTGGCTCTGAGCAGAGAATAAGGGACATGAATGCCTTCCATCCCCTTTTAGGATGAACCCTTTAAAGGAGCATGAAGATGCATGGGTAGTAAACAGTGGGGTTCTAAATGGCGTAAAGAAGGTTATTGCCAATCATAACTATAGTTCTCCCACATAGAACCCACACATGAACCTCCAAGTAATGGGGACCGTTACTCCCCCCCCTCCCCCATTCCCCTTTTCAGAACTAGTCAGGAAGTAAACCCTCTGGGAAATCCAATGGCGCTGCCTTACCCCGAAGTTTCCAAAGGGTTTAGGGTTTAGGGTTTAGGGTGTAGCGTTTAGGGTTTCAGGGGGGGGGGGGGGGCATCGCCCATCCTAGTATTTCAGGAAATCTAAACGAAGAATCCCGACGTGAAAGACGCATAAATGGTGCAACCATCATGCGTCATACGTTTGCTAGCACATCATTGCTTGAAAATGTTAATGGAGTGTAGCATGTCAAATCCAGGTTCTTGAACCGCAACAAGACGAGCCTCGATGCTTGATTTCGTTCGAAAATGTTCGCACATCAGATACTGAACCCCCATAAGCCCCTTCAAAGGCCGCCACGCTTCAAGCGCCTGAGCTTCTTGCGCTCCTGAGGGATTTGGGATTTTTTGGGGTCTAGGGCCGGAAGTCTTCAGATATTTCTTCAGTCTGCTTTTTGGCCTTTCTTTGGGGGCAGTGGGTCTACTTGGAACCAGGGATCTTATGGGTTTGGGCAAGTCAGATGAGGCTGGCGACAGGGAAGAGGAAAGCTGCCTTTTTGCGTCCAGGGAGGGAGCTATCTGGCTCCAGGCAGCCTCGATGAAGGCAGCGGCGCCGACTCCCAGGCAAGCCCCACCGACTGTGTCACTCGGCCAGTGGGCATCCGCAAGAACACGAGTGCTTCCCATGAGGATCCAGGACATGACGGCAGCCGATGCCCACATGTTCCGAGAAGCACCGCGCTCCGTCGACCTTTCGGTCAGCTTGGGGAGGAGCACGCAGAAGATCAAGGACACACAGAAGGCAAATCTCGCCGTGTGCGCAGAGGGGTAAGAGAAGTCGGTGAAAAGCTCACATGGCCTGCTGCGGTGAAAGAACTCCTTCAACATGCGCTGCAGGAGCTTGATCCCTTCAAGGCCGGCAGGTGCTGACAATACCAACGGCAAACCTCCATCGCCAGCTAGTACCTACACTCTCCTTAGAACCTTAATAAGAATAATATGGTTAATATCCTCTTGGGTTTTATATAAACATAAATAAAGAAATAATTCCCAAGGGGGATACAGGTACCACGGCTGAGACGCCTGCCAGAATCCAGGCCGTCAGCTGTGCGAAGTCGTCCAAGCGGTTGGACCAGGCACCAAAGAATTGGTGATCCGGCGAGAGCGCCTCAGAGAGCTGGTGAATGGACTGGTCGATGTCCACCACAAGGCTTCCCTGCCCTCCCGGCGATCCCGGCGGACCGGTCAGAACTCCCAAAAGGATGGTGGTCAGCGCGGCCCCCGAAAAGATCTGCACAGCTGGCAAGCTTCTCAAGCTTGATGGTCCGATTGGTACTGAAAATTTTTCAGATCTCTCAGGAGCTCCCGGCGGGCTGTTGGGTTGACGATAGCCGCACCTGCACCGCTCCGCCCTCCGCGCGGCCCGGTGCGCACACAGCGTGAGGCCAGCAGTTGCGTGGATGCATCCTTGCAGCGACCTTGAGGCTGACCTTGAGGCTGGCAGCCTTGAGCAGCTGGCAACACGCACCCCAGCAAGGCGTGGCGCATGCGCGAGCTGCGCATGCCCGGCAAAAGGAGAGAGGGCCATGTCTCACACGCTGCGCGGGGCTGTATCAGAATCTGGGGCATCCTCGACACAAGCTCTGGCCAACACCCGTACTTGCCTGAAGTGAAATAGGGGCTGCTTATCTCCAAGAGGATGTTGCTGCGCACTGCCTACATGCTGCCTGTTGGTTGAATGAATGCGGCTCGGCGATTTCGAGCAGGCGCTTTTGGAGGCAAGCACATCATCCTAAAACCCTAAGCCCTAAGCCCTAAACCCTAAACCCTAAACCTTCATGTGTTGTGCAATAGTCCACCTTCACAAGTCAACCCTAAAATCCCGGCAGGTGATCTGACATTGCAGGTGCTCTTGACCCAAGGAAGGTACTCCCCAAAAAATAGAGATACCCCTCACATCTATAATCCTCAGTATGTTGGGATCCCCAAAGAGGGGTCAAACTCTATTCGGGGGTTGATCTCAAGGCCCATTTAGGGAAATTCGTTGGGTTCCCCCTAGGTTTCTAAGGGAAATAAAAGGCGATTTGGGGACAGGTATGTTGATCAACTACCACTTCGGAAACTCTAAACCCTAAACCCTAAACCATAAACCCCCTAAACAGGGTCCTTGGGCGTCAGGTGCATCATCGCAGCTTCTGGCGCCTGGTGTGGCTCCAGAAGGGTCGTATGCTTCGAGTTCCCTGAACCCTAAACCTTATCATAGTAGGGTTTAGGTTTTAGAGTTTAGGGTAGAATCATGCATGCATTGTGATAATAATACAAGAAAGTAATGATAGAACAATATACTGGTATAACGAAGTCGGCTCTGAACCGAAAATTCGAACTCCACATGAATCCCAACAGTGCCAAAGAACTGGCACCCTGGGACTTGCCCTGAAACCCTAAACCCTAAACCCTAAACCCGAAACCCTAAACTCTTCCTGGGACCACCCAGGGAGGGTGAGGTGATACCAATTACATGATGATGCAAAGGTGCCTTGCGAATCGCCTGAAGCTCCGGAAGCCCCAAAAATCCCTTTCTGTCGGTGCGCTCAGGGACTACAAGAGGTGCAAGGCCTTGTGGGTGTGGGGTGCAGGTGTTAGGGTTTGGGGTGCAGAGATAGAGAAAGACAGAAACAGAGAGAGAGAGAGAGAGAGAGAGAGAGACAGAGAGAGAAAAAAAAATAGATAGAGAGAGAGAGGGAGGGAGGGAGGGAGAGAGGGAGAGAGAGATATATAAGCTGAATATAGCGTGGTAGGATGGCCTTTTCTGGGGGGGGGGGGTGCCTGTTAGCATCCTTCTACGTCTGGCGGCCTCCTTCTCGGTGGTGATCTTGATCGGGATGGGATGCTCCACATATGGAGTGATCTTCTCCACATTCACCTGCCAGCGGAACGCCCTTCTGGAACATGTGTGGAGCCACATGGATGCAAGCGAAACACCTTCACAACCTCGGATTTCGGGGCTGAAGGGTTAACAGCCCCTTATACAAACAGTCCTTAAAAGGCATGATAGCAGGGGGTAGGATAATCCCTATTAAGGGCTGTTAGTATAAGGGGGAACATCCCAAAAAAGAATCGTCCTCATCAGGGTTTAGGCTTGGGGCCATAGGATGGGGGACCCCCTAAACCCTAAACCCTAAACCCTAAACCCTAAACCCTAAACCCTTAAACCCTAAACCCTAAACCCTTAAACCCTAAACCCTAAACCCTAAACCGCCTCTGTGTAAGCCCTCCTCTGGCCATACTGGTCCTCCTTGAGGAAGGGAGCATCCCACCTCGACTGCTTAGAGGGCTTTCTTTAGATTTAAGAGGGTTCGGGGAAGTTTGAAAGGGTTTTAGGGTTTAGGGTTTAGGGTTTAGGGTGTTCGGGGGAACCCTAAACCCCAAACCCCACATCTTGAAACCTTTGGGGCAATTTCTTCAAGGCCTGGAGGCCAAACGCCCAAGTGAAGATGCTTGTTCCGAGATACTTCCGTGCAGAGTGGAGGGGCTGGGCACTTCGGATTTGGATCCACAATACCGAGGATTGCCTGTGAAACCCTCTGAAAAACATTCCTAAAATTGATGCTCTTAAACTCTAAACCCTAAACCCTAAACCCAAAAGGGGATAAGTACTGAAGATCCCAGGGCCTACCTAGATACTGAGGAGGCAGCCACTCCACGTCGGGGATGGGCTCTCTCCTGCTCTCAAGCGATGCCGAAATCTGAAGCTGCAACCCCAAGCACCACCAGGGTTTAGGGTTTAGGGTTTAGGGTTTAGGGTTTAGGGTTAGGGTTCAGGGTTTAGGGTTTAGGGTTTAGGGTTTAGCGTTTAGCGTTTAGCGTTTAGCGTTTAGGGCCTAGGGCTTAGGGTTTAGGGGTAAAATGCCAGTGTCTCGCACCAGGAAAACACAACGGTTGCCGAATTCCCGGTCTAAGACAAAGGGGGTGGGCTGTTCAAGCTTCAGAATCCAGGGTCCCCGTTAACGGCAAGTTTTGGGGCAGAAATCTCGTGCACAGAGAGCCTCCCGATAAGGGGGCCCTCATTTCAGTTATACAACCCCCTTGGGTTCCCCCCTTTTTTAGGCTATTCAGGGATAATGAAGCCTAGCTAAGGTTCTTTTAGGGGGGGAACCGAGGGTTTAGGGTTCACAGGGTTCAGTATAGAGGGGGTAGTAGGGAAACCCTCAACCCCAAACCCTAAACCCTAAACCCTAAACCCTAAAAAAATCCCGTCCTCATCACCTTCGGCTCAATCTTCTTGACCGGCTGCTCCTTTTCCTGGGCACGGGGGCACCCTGGGCTGAGGTTTTAAAGTTTGGGTCTTAGGGTTTCAGGGATTTAGGGTTTTAGGGATTTAGGGTTTTAGGGTTTTAGGGTTTCAGGGTTTTAGGGTTTCAGGGTTTAGGGCTTAGGGCTTAGGGCTTAGGGCTTGGGGTGATGTATAATGGTTTTAAGGGTTTAGGGTGCCTAGGCTTCGAAGCAGCACAGGGACGACACAAAAAAGTGGCACAGCGTGTGAGCAGCCAGGGCAGTGCCAGCAGCTTCGGTCCTCCTCCTCTTCCTTCTTCTTCTCCTGCTTCTTCTGCTCCTCCTCCTTTTTCTTCTTGTCGTCCTTCTTGTCGAGGCCAAGCGCCTGTAACACGGTTTTGGGTTTAGGGTATAGGTTTAGAGCCTAGGTTTTAGGGTTTAGGGTTTAGGGTTTGGGGTTTTGGGGTTTAGGGCGCGAGGTTGCATTGAGGATCTTCTATGCCCTCCGCCTGGGCCCTTAACACTTAGTTCTTGTGCCTTCTCCTGCACTTTTTTGATCATCTTCTGCTCCTTCTTGACAAGCTCTCCCTCCTCGATGAACCTGACAGGGTTGAGGGTTTAGGGTTTAGGGTTTAGGGTTTAGGGTTTAGGGTTTAGGGTTTAGGGTTTAGGGGTTTAGGGTTTAGGGTTTAGGGTTTAGGTTTAAGGGTCATGGTTCAAGGTTTTGGGACAAAGCTACAGGAACAACAACCCAAAAACTCTCAACCCACATGCACGCCGCAAGATCCCAACCCTGTCTCCTGCTGCCTGACACCTCCTCAGGCCCTATTCTCTAAATTCGGGTCCCTAAACCTTAAACCCTAAACCCTAAACCCTTTTGGGGTTGCTCCGATAAGGCGGCCCCCGAATATATTTCGGGGACCCCACAAAAAGGGGACCCCAACTCAAAGAACGCACCATGTCAATGCAAAGCCACCCAGGACCTGAAGTTGCGTCGCTTCTGGCGCTCGAACCGCTCCTTTCCGGCTAGGCGTGCGCGGGCGCCGCGGGCGCTAGGGCGCGCTAGGGGCTCTGGGATACTGGGCTTCAGGGGCCTGAAGGCCTCCGCGATGCGTAGGAGCTCTTGAGGGATTCTTGTATGAGAACTCGGTAATCACCGCGAGTTTCGAGGCTCAATGTTCTTTCACAGCCTGGTTGCGCAAGTGGCTGCCTTTTTTGAGGTCGAGATGCAGCTTCAGTTTACGGACCTTTGGCCTCACAATACCCGAAAGCCCTGCCACCCCAACCTCAAAAAACCGAAAAAACCCTAAACCCAAAGCTTCTGAACGCCAAAAAAACTGAAAAGCTCTAAGCCCCTGCAGCTCCAAACCCTAAACCCAAAGCTTCTGAAAAACTAAAAAGCTTTAAGCCCCTGCAGCTGCAACCCTAAACCCTAAACCCTAAACCCTAAACCCTAAACCCTAAACCCTAAACCCTAAACCCTAAACCCTAAACCCTAAACCCTAAACCCTAAACCCGAACCCCTTTTACACCGGCCCCCTGTCATCCGAAAGAGCGTCCTTGACCTTCAGCGTGGAGTCGAAGTAGGAGCTCTCGCCTCCGGCACCATCCTCGCCGCTAGGCTTGGAGGTTTTAAGGGTTTTGGGGGGTTTTTTTCGGTTTTTGTTTTTTGATTTGAGGGGTTTTTGAGGGTTTTTGAGGGTTTTTGAGGGTTTTTGAGGTTTTGAGGGGGTTTTTTGAGAACCCCAAAAAACCCTAAGCCCTAAGCCCTAAGCCCTAAACCCTAAACCCTAAACCCTCAACCGAGCAGCTGGGCACCCACGGAGTCCCACCCCCCCCCCCCCCAACTGGGGGAAGTCCCCCCCATTCCCTGCTACGAACACCAGTAAGTTTATTGTTCCCCAACATCCTCAACCACAAACCCTAAATCCTAAACCCTAAACCCCAAAAACCCGTGGAAAAAAAAATGCGGCGGTCCTTCTTCAGGCCCAGGATCTTCTTCAGCCTAGCCTCCTTCTCGCGGTTGATGTTCACTTTCAGCGTGCTCACCACCTTCCGGTGGCTGGTTTTTTGGTGGGTTTAGCCCATTAGGGCTTTAGGGGTTTGGGGGTTTAGGGGTTTAGGGGTTTGGGGGTTTAGGGTTTAGGGTCTAGGGTTTAGGGTTTAGGGTCTAGGGTTTAGGGTTTGGGGTGTAGGGTTTAGGGTCCAGGGCGCTTGGCCAAATTTGGTTGGGGCTTTGGGGAGGTTTCAAAGGGGCCAGGCTTTGGGGAAAGCGGAGTCAGTTGCATAGGCCTCTACGCAAAAAGCGTTCCAGAAAGGATTCTTTGTGGTAGTGCAGCGATGCAAAGAGATGCAAAGGACCTCGACTCCAGTTATAACTAGAGCGCTAAGTGGGAAAGCTGTAGCTTTTGGTAGCTATGAACCTCCAAGTAAGCCTGAATAACTACAACTGTATTTGGGTATAACCCTTATTTCGGGTACTTAGAACCCTACTTGTAACTTACCCACGAACCTCCCAAGTAAGCCTAACCCTAAACACTACACCCTAAACCCTAAACCCTAAAAACCCTAAACCCTAAACCCTAAGCCCTAAGCCCTAAACCCTAAACCCTAAACCCTAAACCCTAAACCCTAAGCCTCCCAAGCCGGGCCTGGGGCTTCATGGGGACGACCTGTCCATCCTCGTCCAGCTCACGGCCGAATTCGTCGAGGATCAGCTTTCGCGCCTCGGCGCTGGCGATGATGACAGTTTAGGGTTTAGGGTTTAGGGTTTAGGGTTTAGGGTTTAGGGTTTAGGGTTTAGGGTTTAGGGTTTAGGGTTTAGGGTTTAGGGTTTAGGGTTTAGGGTTTAGGGCAGCTCTATCAAGAAGAGTAATGCCAGTGGTACCATTCAATATGCTTCTTTCGTAGTAACAACCATAAACAGAGGGCCCCAACAAGCCAAGAAGCCAACAAGCCACCCTGAACACGAAACTGATATCTGATATGCTGGAGGGTGCAGCAGGGGTTGAGGGGGTTGAGGGGGTTGAGCTGTTCGATGAAGTCGACGGACAACTTGCCCAGTGCTACTAGGAGAGACAAAGGCCAAGTATCTTGACCCCAAACCTTTGAGCAAACACAAGCTTCCACGTGCTGATTGCTAGAGATCCTCAACCGTCTGGTCATCTTGGCTACACACCTTCGGGGCTTCAGCGCCCATGAAGCCTCCACCAAGGCCTTGCACGTTGAGAGGGCAGGGGGAAGGACCCCTGTTCGGCCGTGCACGATGTAAAAAACCCTAAACCCTAAACCCTAAACCCTAAACCCTAAACCCTAAACCCTAAACCCTAAACCCTAAACCCTAAACCCGTGGGTGTGGGCAGGGGGTGCGATGCCTTGGCCCTTGATCTTGCTCATCTGCTCCTGGATCTGCCGCTGGAACATCGCCGCCCGCTTTGCCTGCACAGTAGGGTTTAGGGTTTAGGGTTTAGGGTTTAGGGTTTAGGGTTTAGGGTTTAGGGTTTAGGGTTTAGGGGTTAGGGTTTAGGGGTTAGGGGTTAGGGGTTAGGGTTTAAGGCGCTGCTAACCAAGGGAAAAGGGCCGTAAAGATCTGCAAAGTGTCCTTCTTTTGCCGGATAAATGCCAGGCTCAAAGCCACGCCTTTTCAAGGGCTTCGCGAGCGGCCTGTGCTGCAGCTGACAAGTCCTCCCGAGCAGCGACCACTGAAACACTGGAGGGGCACTGGAGGGACACTTGGAGGCACACTTGGAGGCGCACTTGGAGGGGCACTTGGAGGGGCACTGGAGGTTTAGGGATCAGCAGATGGTTCACGCAGCCGCAGACAGCACGCCAGGACAACTCGCAACGGAGAACTGTCCAGGGATGCCCCTGCACCGATGCCCGGCGTGGCTCCCCTGGCCGACGCGGAGATCCCCCCAGCACCAGCCCTAAACCCTAAACCCTAAACCCTAAACCCGCACCGGGACAAGCGTGGCACGGCTGGCATGCCAGGCTGCACTGGCAGAAGACCCAGAGCTGCAGTGTCCATGCCTGGCACAGGCGGTTCACACTTCTGTAAGATGAGGAGACAGCCAAATAATAGGATCCCCTTAAAATAAGGACCCCAAGAAGGTACCCCTAATTTCGGAAACCCCCAGATAAACATTCCAGAGATTCTCATCAATGGTGCAAGTGCCAGATCATCGGCACTTGGCATGGGAGGGGCTTCCGGCTCCTGCAAGTGATGCCAGGGAACACGATCAGGCCACATGCAGACCGTGCAAGCGTGTTGGCTGTGACATCCAATCCCACAACAACACACGCCTGACCCCATCGATTGCGCCGTTGACGCTTGGGCTTCGGATCCTCTTTGACGGCATCAAGGTCCTGCGACGGAATGTTGGGGATGTTGAGGCGAGTGTCCAATTGAAACCTCCTCCGCACCTCCACAACTTCTGCAGCTTCAACATCGGTGGGTTTCTCGACTTCCTCCGTGTCGCCGTTCTCTGCCTGGATGCGTCATTACGGCGTGGACGTTGAGACACAGATCCTGCAGCCTTTCCTGTGCTACTAGTAGGCACTAGCCGGTACACCAAAGCAGCTGGGGCACTTCTTCAGTCATCTGTCAAAGTCGCCGTACCAGCTGCGCAGCTTTTTTGGCCCGCCTCGGGCTCTGGACCTCGGAAATGGAGCAAGGTATAGGGATGCTGCAAAGGGATACTACAGGGTTGAGGGACGTCTCGTGTGCAAGGGGCCCGAGGCACCAACGGTTGCACCAAACCGTCAGCAGCACTGATTTTTGCACCCAAAACCCAGAGCCAGAAAGCGAAGCGCACGCGCAAATGGGCTCGACAGCGACTACCGAGTTGGGGCCCTGGAGCTCTCGTGCAGGCAACCACATGCGACAGAGAGAGAGAGAGAGAGAGGAAGAGAGAGACGAAGAGAGAGATACGAAGAGAGAGAGAGAGAGCGAGAGAGAAAGAGAGAGAAGAGATACGAAGAAAGAGAGCGAGAGAGAGAGAGAGAGAGAGGAGAGAGAAGAGAGAGAAGAGAGAGAAGAGAGAGAAGAGAGAGAAGAGAGAGAAGAGAGAGAAGAGAGAGAAGAGAGAGAAGAGAGAGAAGAGAAAGAAGAAGAGAGAGAAGAAGAGAGAGAAGAAGAAAGAGAAGAAGAGAGAGAGAGAGAGAGAAGAAGAGAGAGAAGAAGAGAGAGAAGAAGAGAGAGAGAAGAGAGAGAGAAGACAGAGAAGAGAGAGAAGAGAGAGAAGAGAGAGAGAGAGAAGAGAGAGAAGAGAGAGAAGAGAGAGAAGAGAGAGAAGAGAGAGAAGAGAGAGAAGAGAGAGAAGAGAGAGAAGAGAGAGAAGAGAGAGAGGAGAGAGAGTGAGAAGGGAGGTAGTATAAGAGAGAAGCAGAGGGGCACAACGCGGAAGCAACGCAGCACCACTCAGAAAACGAATCATAGGAAGATTCAGAAACTGAGCGGTGCCCAACCTCGAACATGCACTATCACCGACAATCGTTGGCGGCGTACGTGTCGGATGTTGGATCCCTGCATTCTGTTACTGTACAGGCTCACTGCAGCAAGAGTGCTCACACAAGTATGTCTCGACATATGACGGCTTTGGCTACCTGACTCAGGAAATTCTGAGACACCTCCTTTCGCGAAACTGTCGAGACATACCCATGTTGACGACAGCCACAGGTGCCCATTGCTAAGAAACGCATACACATAGACATGGGATGTTCCTGCGCAATCGCTCCCTCAAGGTAGCGGGTTGGATGTGAAACTGAATCAGGTACTCATGCAAGAGGGCACAGAGTACCTTGGCACTGATCTCAAGGTTTGTGTCATGGCATGTCCAACATCAGTCGAGCAAAGCGCATGATGCCCAATGTCAGAACTGGGACCCCAACTGCGGCAGGTTTCAGCAAAGAGGCGTGCCTCACAAGACGTACAAGGAAACGAGTAGAACCCACCAGCAAGTCTTCTAGAAGTATGGGTACCTGACGTAGAAATGCCGCAACATCCCCGGCCTCTCAGAAGGCTGAGAAGCAGGTCGGCTATACCTGGAGATGGCCCAATTGTGCCTTACTTTGCACAATGTCAGTAAAGGCACAATGTCGGTAAAGGAGGGAGGGGGTCCTAGCAGAGTAAACTTGGAATCCCGAATACTCCTTAGTACTCCCTAAGGCTCCCGAAGCTTCCCTAAGGCTGTCTAAGTACCTCGATTCGACCGCTCCCCCCTTCTCTTAAGGACAGGGGTTTAGGATTTCGGTTTTAGGGTTTAGGGTTTGGCGGCCCCACTCAACAACCATCTGATGCAGCGCTCCGTCTCGAGGCAGGAACATCCTCGAAAAGAATTCCAGGTCGTGACCGCCGAACATCCTAGAACCTTCCGTAAAGCTGAATTTCAGTTCCCTCATATCCTTTCTGTAAACTGTCAGAACAAGCCGAATGACGACCTGAAGGAAACATCCAAAACTGGACCCTCATTGAGAACTGCCCCCACTTCTTTGCCGGCCTGGATTTTCGCAGCCTGAGCAGCTGCGAGTCAAACCCCCAAGCACCAAGCAGGTTCGCGGCAATCGCTAGAAGATGCGGTTTAGGGTTTAGGGTTTAAGGTTACGGCTATCCCGAAAACACCCAAACAAGTGCGAATTTCTCCTTTGCTAAGTTTCAAATCTGAAACCCTAAGTCCTCAACCCGAACTTCTGTTTAGGATATAGGATTTAGGGTTCTGCAGACGAAAGAGTTTCCTGTCCCGGTCTTTGTCCCAGCCGCTCTAGATTCTCACTACAAGAAACGACCCTGAGCCCTAAACCCTAAACCCTAAACCCTAAACCCCAGGCAAATGAGGGCCACGCCCATTTCATCTTTGGGGCCTTTCGATCAGCTCCAGCTTTCCTGCCGGCGCCCGGGCTGAGGGAATCGGGTCGGGCCGGGGGCTGCTGCAGCGGCAACTGCAACCTGCAAACCGTCACAAAGTCGAGTAGGGTTTAGGGTTTAGGGTTTAGGGTTTAGGGTTTAGGGTTTAGGGTTTAGGGTTTAGGGTTTAGGGTTTAGGGTTTAGGGTTTGGGGTTGGGGTTCAGAGTTTAGGGTTTAGGGTTTAGGGCTTAAGGAGTGGATTCGAGTGGAGGCGACCAGGACAGAGTCCGGCCAGAAAAAGGCGGTATCACCTCCGGCCCGAAGGCTTAAGGATCAAACCAATTTAGGGTTTAGGGTTTAGGGTTTAGGGTTTAGGGTTTAGGGTTTAGGGTTTAGGGTTTAGGGTTTAGGGTTTAAGTGCTCGTTCCAGAAAGGTCCATGTCTTAGTCTTGCTGCATGGCTTGGCTACTGAAAGTTCTGCAGCTGCAGCCTAGATACCATATGCCTTTGCATCCTGGTGGCTATTTGCAGGAGTAGCCCGAAACCCCGAACCCCTTGCCTTTTGCCTTCCTCATCCGCGCTGAAAGCTGCGTCCTCGGGGTTGTCTGCAGAAGCGTCTGCTGGGGTTGAGGGCGTTTGCTCAGAGCCAGAGTTTGGGGGTTTAGGGCTTAGGGTCTTGGGTTTAGGGTTTAGGGTTTGGGGTTATTCTTGGGTTCAGAAGTTGCAGCGCACTCGGTTTAGGGTTAGCAGTTGGGGGTGGCCAGATTGAGGGTCCCGACGTTTCACGCCGGATCTGCAAGGCCTTCTACCTGATGTCTGCTGCTGGATTGCCGTCCAAAGGGGTTGGTCACCACATAAAGATGTACACCCCTTTTGGCACCCCATACTCCCAGGAAGATACCAGAGATCCCGACAAGCCCATGACCAAGATCCACAAAGCCGAAACCCTAAACACTAAACCCTAAACCCACAAAGCAGCTCCTGGACAACAGGAGCCGCCCGGCCCGCAGCCTCCAACATAGCTGGGGGTGGGGGTGTGGGGGTGGTGGGGGGGGGAGGGGCTTGCGACGTTGAGGATCCCCAGAACGACAGACATCTTGATATCGTCTGCTGTAGCATATTCTGTGGTGTTGAGCGCCGACACGTCTGGAATTGAGTTGGATTGTAACTGAACTGGATTGAACAGAATTGTTGAGTCAAAATCAATAGAATATATTTGGTACGACTGTAGATGCTTCAGAAACTTTCACTGGGCATCTTCACTTCGATCTTCGATCCAGGGGACGACTCAGTACATTGAGGTGGTTAATCCGTCTGGTTTCAAAGTAAGTATCACTCTTACATGGTCTTAAGCATTCAGGCATATATGAGGCCTGTGCGTCATGGCTTTACAATTGGAGCCTGCCGTCGTTTTGGAAGCATGCCTATGCAAGCCTCCGGCTTCGCATCGCCAATCCATGAAAAACGTACAGAGCTGGGGGGGGGGGGTTTGGGGTGTCGGGTTTAGGGTTTAGGGCAGTTCAGTATAGAAGAATACGATGCAACAACTTACAACACAACACAACACAACAGAGTGTAATCGAACGTCATGCAAGGTAACATTCTATGATCGGATTTGATACTACCAAATATCAACACATAGTACCCTGCAAGCCACCCGCAACCGAAACCCCTCAGTCGCACCTGCCACGGCAGAGGCTCATTTTGCCACGAGCTGGGTGGGGGTGGCCGTGGGGCCTCGCAAGGATTTTCTTGACTTTCGGACAGGTTATTAGGGTTTAGGGTTTAGGGTTTAGGGTTTAGGGTCTAGGGTTTAGGGTTTAGGGTTTAAGGCCTTCAGGGTACGTGACATCTTCTTGACCTTTGAAAGACAGGACTTGCAAACGAAGACCAATTCCCAAAATCACCCGGCTTTGGCAAAAGCTGCATGCAGGGTGACGATCAGCTATTGAGAACCCTAAACCCTAAACCCTAAACCCTAGACCCTGAGCTCCGCGCCACCTTGCCCCCCTTGCCATAGTTTCCCTGTGGGAGCTCCTGCACGTCTCGGGCAGTGTCGCGCGCTTGATTGAAAATGGAAGGGAGCCAGCCTCAAGTGAAGCAGTCAGTGGAGGTAAAGCTTGTACCACTGACACATGCCGCGGCGGGACACGGAACATGAAAGAAAGCGCTGGCAAAACCTTGACAGTCCTCAAGCTTCTCCCCCGCAGATCACATATATGTATATATGTATATATATGTATATATATATATGTATATACATTCTCTATCTAATCATTCAAAAGAAAGCTCCTCCATTTGCTCATCGCTCCACTTTCCAGTGCTCCTGGCTGACAATTTAATCTCAAGTCCCTCTATGGCTGCAAAGTGCAGAGAGTCATGGCTGTTGGGTAAAGTCTCTCAGGCCCGAGCTTGCCCACTCCCTTGCCCGTCTTCGCCTTTCCTTTGCCTTGGCTCCCCCCCTCCGCCAAACATCCCACAACCCTAAACCCTACTGTACATCGCTAAGCCCCCCCCCCCCCACAAAAAAAGTAATAAATAATAATCATCATAATAATAATCATAATAATAATACATACGAAAAAAGGTATATATATATATATTATATATATGAAAACACAAAGAGCTGTGCCATGAGCTTCGGCTGTCAAAGCAGGCGAACTGGGAGGACACTCTGGGAGGCCCGGCCGAACTCATCCTTCCCTTTGCCTTTGCCCCTTGGTGCAGCTTTCTCTGTTTGTGTGCTCAGGTCGCAACTCTGCAACTCCTGTTGGGGTTTAGGGTCTAGGGTTTACGATTTAGGGTTTAGGGTTCAGGGTTCAGGGTTTAAGTCAAGGAACTGGATACTTGGCTGATAAGCCGAGAAGCAAGCAAAGGCGGCACTGTGCATGACGTGTCGCCCATACTTCAGTGCACGACACGCACGGCATATCACACAGCATATGTAGAAGTGGTGCCAAACGCCACATGGCCAAAAGAAGCGGTGCATGGTGAGGATGACAGGGAGCCAAAATACCCACAAAAAGCCTGCACAATTGCCTTCTAAGCCTACATCCACACGCCTACTCTGATCCACGTCGCTCTTCTTCACCCCCCCCCCCCCGCGCGCCCGGCAAGCCGAGCCCCTGGCTTGCCAGGCTCACTCCAGCCATCCCGCCAGCCCTCCTGCCGCCAGCCAGGGCCTCCAGCCGGCGCTGGAGCCTGGCAGCTTTCGGGAGTTTGGGGGTTTGGGAGTTTGGGGTTTGGGATTTTCAGGGACTTGGGCGGTTTCCGGGCTCGTTAGGGCTCAGGGCCGCGGGCGGCCATTTTGAGAAAGGGGGGGCGAGCTCGAGTGGTAAAAGGCAGAGGTTAGTAGGTACTGCAGGGCTTCGGGTTCCATAGCAGGGTTTTCTGTGTCAACACTTGGTCTTGGAGCGCCTCCAGACCATTGGCAGGCAGCACAAGCGGCGGCTGCTTGAAGCGAGACCCCCATGACTTCCAGAAGCCTGCCAGAGTCTTGGGCAAGCTTACATGTGCCCTTCGATGGCCTCAAGGCCGGCATCCAAAGCCACGGGACAAGCACCATAAAAAAAGATGCTGCATGAAGCAAGTGGAGCGAGCAAGCTGGAAGCGAAGCGGCTCGAGGTCTTCGGAACTCAAGCGCAACACAGCTGCATCAAGCCCCCAAGCCCCACAAGGAGGCAACAAGGACCTTCATCGACTTCTCAAACCAGAAGAAAATCAGGAGGGTTGAAGGGGTTAGGCTTAGGGCTCAGGGATCCCCCCGAAACAGACTCAAGGCGCCTGGGCCCTGAAGCCCATACTGCGGCGGTTGCATCATGGGCACCTGGGCAGGGGAAAAAAAGAACGTACCAATGTTCCGAGACTGGGGGGCCCTCTCTCCAAGCAGCTTTGTAGAAGACCTTACAAGTCATAGAGGCCCTGTATAAGCAGCTTTTGCAAAAAAAACCTTACAAGTCATAGAAGTCCTGGTATACATGAACCGCCTGCCAAAAAGGAGAGGCCTCCTTACGCTCGGCCCTTCCACCTTCGGTTCGGGGTTCCTAGGCGGCTCTTATGATTTTAGGGCCTCGGACTCGCAGCATGGTCTTGGAACGGACCCTTAAAGAAAAAACACTTTGGGTTGAGGGCTACTTAATAAGCAGATCCACTTCTGTAGACACGATGAGTTCAAGCAAGCCTCTTAGCTAGAGAAGGTGAACCCCACACGTCGGCCTCCGGCGGCATCATCCCCAGGGGATGCATGCCCGGGGGTGGCCCCATGAAGTCGCCGTAGCCGCAGCCGCCCATGCCCTTCCCTCCGAACTGAGGCTGGGCCTTGCCAAGTTCACGAGTACGCAGGTGAGCACAACTCAGAGCGTCACCCGTTTTGGCAGACGGAAGTTAAAGGAAGAAGGACTGAAGAACTGAAACGCTGAAGGGCTCAAAGCCTGAAAGGCTGAAAGCCTAGAGCATGGTTCTGAGAGTTCAAAAAGAGAGCGCAGAACAGCATAAGCCCCCCGGTTAGGGTATAGGGTTACGCGTTTAGGGTTTAGGGTTTAGGTTTTAGGGCTTAGGGTTTAGAGTTTAGGGTTGAGGGTTTAAGGTGGTGCCGGGCTTTCTGGGGGGCTTCTAGTAGAGGTTGGCATATTGCAATGGTCAAAGTTCTGAGCCGAGCAGCCGGAGGGAAGCCTGGAAGCATGTCCGGCATGCCCATGCCATCCCCTTCCGTCGGGGGCAGCCTGGCAGGAATATCTTGCCTTTGAAACGGAAGAATACGGCCCCAAACCCCAAATCCTACACCCTAAACCCTAAAACCGTCTTGGGGCCCGTTGTGGATTGGCCATTTTCGTTGGGGCCTTGGGGGGGACTCGGGTTGCCACAAGCCGGAAAGACCCCGGAGGCACGAAGCCCAGATTGGCGTTCACTGGGAAGAAGCTGCGGAGGAAATGTTCCGACTTGATGGCGGCGTTCAGGGGCTTCCCCTGATGCTACCAAATCTACAACACATCTTGGATGACAAAGAAGAGGACTGAGGAGCCGACCTTGAAGGATTGGTCACGTAGCCAAAGAACGACGTCTTGGGCGCCGTCGTCCACATTGAACTTCACAAACCAGGTGTTGTTCACCTGGAAGCAGTAAGGCGGCGCCACAACACAGCAAGACCGATTCTGCAGCTCCAAGCAGTTCTACCGGCCTCTGGCTTGACACTCACAACGTTTTCGGCGTACGGCCCAGATGCGAGAAGTGCCATGATGTCTTCCTGGCAGGGCCAAGGGCTCGCGAAAAGTCCGCCAGACCTGTCAGCTGATGGACCACCTCCGTCGTGCCCTCTGGCAGATCACGGAGGATAACGACATTTCGCTTGGACTTGAGCACTGGTCGTACCTTAGCCGGTCAACAAACGCAAGTGTCGGCAACACGATGCCGATACAGCTTCCGTGGAAATGCACTAAGTCTGGGTGGCATGCCATGGTTTTCTGGTCGTCCACGCCCAAGCGCTTGGACTTTGCAGCTGCAGCTGCAACCTTGCTCCAGCATGCTCAACAACATTTCCTGGAAGCGGTCTGCTAAAAACATAACATGATGCGCTCTTTGTGCCACACGGCGCCTGGTCGTGAGTTGCACCAAGGCCTTGCAGACGATGATGCATCAGCAACACAGGGATCGGAATGTACCTCCAGGGTTTTGGTGTCGTCTCAAATGCACCACAACACAAGCGACTCCGCGGCCAGCGGCGCACATCTGTGGGTTCATCTTGCTGGCCAAGAACTGGTCTCGCACCAAGTTTTTCTTGGACAAGATGGACTCCAAGGCATCCTACCAAACAGGCGCCCAATGGAAAGCAGTGCACGCACGTCGCACTGCGCCGAAAGAGAAACTATACCCGGCAATGCACATCTGCCAAGAACTGCTAAACCAAGAGCACCTGCGGCCTAGCTGCCACAAAAAACTTCGGAATCAGAGTTCAAGGCATCGGCCAGCTGTGCAACCCTGAGTCCTGGATTTGTTCATCGGGCGATTTATCCTTCGATCGTGCGGCACTGGGCCCCGGTGTTTCAGCTTCCATTGCCTGAGTGACGCTGAGAAGGTCATCGCGAAACATGTCGGCAACCATTGAGCTGTTGCAAGTTGCAAGCACTTGTGTTTCTGAGGCGCCGGCTCTGGGAACACGTCTTACGTGACCCACACCATGTTTGCAAACAATACCAATATCAGCACATGAGCCACTCTGGCCGGCATCGTAGGGAGCATGAAAATACAGATTGTGATTCCCTTGTGTCCGAAGCACGACTGCACGAGTTGCCCAACTGCAGTTGAAAAACTGCCATCAAATTACACACGCAAAAGTGCAGAGCCCTTTGAACATGATCGCGCAAGCAAGCAAAATGACAAACGCCATAGTCTCCACAACGAGTTTAGCATTCAATATGCTCTCCGAACAGATCATGCATGCATGTTGTCTTTGTACAAAGAAGGCCAAATGCGATGGACAACAAGGCAAACATCTAACACGTAAATCCACAAGTCGTGAAAGAATTTCACGCTATGACTGTAAGCAAGTATAACACTGAGATGACACACAGTACGTCCCGTCCTCCTGCAACGGCGACAAGTTCTAGGTTGATGACCGCAAGGCAACCACACTTGTTCTGGATAAACCCAAGATGCTCCACCTGTTACTAATCTGCTATATCTGCAGTCCCAAGGAAATACAACTTCAACTTTATGGAACCGAAAAGGCGCGACACAAAGAAACACCAATAGTCTGGAAATATTTGGACCCACAGCCCAAAAGTCCTTTGTACTGTGGGGGACTAAAGGATTGTCAAGCCCAAGCCTTGTTCGGCCCCCGGGGTTCATTCTATGCGAGGATATGTATGAAAGAACCTCAAAGTAGGTTCCAGCAAAGGCAAGTGGAAAACGAGATGACTCAAGAACTCGGTCTTGACATGGCGACCCCGACAGGCGCTTGAGTCCGGGCGGCCAATGTTATGCTCACAGCGAGCGCATGCCGAAAACAAAAAGCCACGATTCGGCCCACTCGTGTCCACGCTTGGACCTCCTGGCACAGCTGCCACCTTCAACCCGGCACTTGAAAACGGAAGGCAGTCTTCAATCGAAGCACCCCACCTGCCGATGGTGGCCGGATCGGCCTTTAGAGGCTACTGTGGAAGCAGGCAAGCAATCTTGTCCAAAGTGTCTCGGTCAAGCCTGCGAAGCTATCTCCACCCATTCCACTGCGAAATCAGGCCCCCTCATATGGTCCAAGTAGCAGCAGGGACAATTGAGGCACAAAGCAAGACTCGGCATCGCGTGCTCCGCGAAGCAGTAATTTTTGTTTTGGACCATTGCCTCTTTACTACATCAGCAGCGCAGTAGGCCGTTCTTAGGGATCTCAATGCGAGAGGTGAAACGGAGCAGGTGCGAAAACCAAAGCAAACACACACCAAACCAAAAACAAAACACAACCACCAACCAGCAGCAACCCGAAGAACAGAGCACCAAAAGTCTACGTGTCCCCCGCGCTCAGTACTCGAAGTCGTCGCAGAAGTCCAGGTGTAATCGAGCAGCGCAGAGCATACGGGGGGGTCGCAAAATGCGAGGGTATGCCAGATCACCAAAACCACCATCATGTAGCCACAGGTGCAAAGAAGGTCAGCCGGCAAGCTGTAAATCGAAGATCGACAGCAGAATTACCGACCGACACGGTGAGGTACCAGGCGCACAGTGGCGAAAAGGGAAGGTACAAAATGGCCCAATATCCCAGAGGGAAAGCAAGGCCAGCACGCGCCCCATGGTGGTCAGCCAGTGGGGACTTGTTGGCAAGAACAATGCAAGACCAGCCCAGGGCACCCCATGCTCCGCGAAGCAGTAAGCATGTCGGGGCCAGGCTCGAGCAGCGACGCCCGGTCACGTACCCTGCTAGTATGTATGCCGGCTCGCGGTCCCCAGTCCAAAAGGCCATAGCCGTCCAAGTCCAACGTGAAGCAAAGATGCAACTTCTAAACAACAAGACAGAAGAAGAGTAGCGAGACCTCAACTACAAACATCCAGAATAAGGCGCCATTCACGGCTAAGGGGTGCGCCTCCAAAACTCTTAGCCTTGAACTCTGAGCGCTCATAACGTCTCGAACGAGAAACCCAGCTCTACAAGTTGTGATCCAACACAACAGAATGTTCCTAACTGCCTCAGCCTCAGGTCGGACAGGAACCAGGAGCCACTACTTCGATTAAATACCGAAACAAACTCCAACCCAAACGTTCAAACCCTTTTCTGCCACCTGTGATTCAAGCAGAAAGCTGGGAAAACATGCCGAGCATCCAGCACCTCAGAGACTCTGACTGCACTCTGCGCAAGGAAGTTGCAACGGGCAAGCAACGGGCAAGCAAGGGGCCTCTGTAGCTGATGTGTACATTAATGCATCGAAAAGGTCGGCACTTTTCCTCTATCTGCTTGCACCGCTGTCGGTTGGCCTTGAGCCAAACACGTTCACCCGTTGAATCCTGCGCATGCAATGGAGCCTGTCACGTCAATAGGACTGGTGTCTAAATCTTCAAGCGACAGTCCCATCCAATTTAAGTTGACGTGACATACAGGATTGATGAGCCTGAGCACTTTGGCACCGTAGGGAGATTCAGATCTGGAATGAACCAGCTGTACAGAGAACCAAGCCTAGCACACTGCCAAATGGGCATATCAAGTGGCTCAGAAGCAATAGACATTAACTGCGCAGTCTCTTGCAATAACTGACGATCTGACGCCGCCTTGGATCTTAACTTCCTCTTTGGGTCTTGAGCTCGCTCAGATAACTCGTCATGTTCAACTACGAGTTGAAGCTTCCCAGAGCCCAGTAGATGTAGTAGAGCTCCAGCTCCTTTGGAAATATCAGCCTTGGTGAAAGCATTTCGCTTCCAACTCAGCAGAGATACCAGTTTCAGAAACGTACATGTTTGAGAATTTGGATTCTGGCTGGTATGTTGTAGTTGGCAGTGGTAACGAGATAAGTCTCAAGAATCTAAACTCTGAAGAAAGACTTCAGTTTGACAAATCTGACGCTGCAGAGTGGAAGGCTATAGTAGACACAGGAGCTGTGTTGGTGCTATCTCCAAATGAATCAGAACGTGTGAAGAAACAGATGCCTCAGCGGATCATGACCAGTCGCATCGTGCGCCGGTGGAAACCTCAACCTGGCATAGGCTGCAAGAAGGCCAAGTCAAGATGGTGTGTACATGGTCATTAGGATCATGACGCTCCTCAACTTAAAAACCTTCAGCCCTACGCCAATAACTGAGTCCTTGTATCTCTTCCTGCTCATGGCATTGGGGCTAGGTCTTTCGATTGACTTCGCAGACGTCAAAAATGCCTTTTGTCAATCAAATCCCACACAGCGCGCAGCGGGACCAGTCTACGCTGAGGCCTGTCCTGGATTGGGGCTTCCTCCAGGCACGCTGATACAACTGGTTGCGTGAAAAACCGAAGGTCCCTCTGGTACCTTTTCCCTTGAAAGCACGAACCCTGATCTCACACAAGTGCGGACAACTCTCTCTTTTTCACAGTCAGAGCCACTTGAGCCAAAAGTCACGAAGTGCACAAACTAAACGAATTCTCTCTTGTGAGCTTAAACTCAGCTTCAGAACGAAGTTCCTACACACTGCACACTCACTTTAAATAGCGTATTGGGCAAAAACACACTCGTATGATTTCCTTGGAAATCAACGAGGCATAAACCATCGAGGATGGGATCACACGGATTCCCAATCACTCCGAAGCAAAACAAACCTATACAAGCTGATCCAAAACATGACAAAAACATCACTGATCAGCCACAATCTTCCACCCCCCGCATTTTGCTGAGGGTTCATGTCAAAGATCTGAAGTCCAAGCCCAGCTCGGCACTTCAACACTAAGGGGATGCCCTGGCCACATTCCCTTGGTGCGTACTCGCCACCAAACGAAACAAACAACACACCAGTCGATCTCTGACATCAAACTTAAAACTCATGCAAGATCCCACCATCAGGCAGGTTGTCCTGGGTCCACATCACTGGTAACCCAAGAGTTCGTTGTCCAAACACGTGAAAAACGAATTAAACTTGCATCCACCTGCACTGGGGCAGGGTTGTCTTGGAACGAATCCAAGAGTTCGTGGTGACAAACACGTGAAAACGAATTAATGCAAGCTTCAGATGTTTCCCACTCAGCACTCGACCTTGTCGTGGTACTCCTCCTCAGTCTCGCATCTTCCAGGTCACCAAACTCACCAACTAGCATCGGCTAGCTGATCCTTCAGGAAAAGATTGGCTTCATAGTTTCGCTTCTTCCAGCGTACCATCAGCCAAAAACGTCTTCAGAGGTGGCAATCAGACGCCTTGCAGAAGGGGCTATAGAGTCCCTCGTTGAGTTTCATCATCATTTTGCCTCCTCTTTGCAAACTTCTCATGCACTGAAACAAGGGCTCACACTAACCAGAAAAATCGCGGGCGCTCCATGGCGGCAACGCGGCCATGGCTTCCAAAAAAAATGGCTGCGGGTTTCACTCACCCACCCAACCACTGAGATCACTTAGCATCTCAGTTCATTCTTCATCCTCTTCGCCCTTCTTCTCGCCAGCTCCAGTTGACTCCATCAACTTGGCGCGGCGCTCCTTGGCGGCTTCCTTCATCTCCGCCAACTCAGCCGTCCTCGTTTCCATCATCACATCCTGCGAAGATCGGCTAGGCTCAGCTGGCGTCTCCGCAGGCCTCTCAGTTGGCTGGTCTCCAACCTTTCTCTTCTTCTCTTCCAACATCAGCTCCAAATCGGCAACACTAAAGCTTGCCTTCACACGCTCAGCAATCTGCGCGATAGCTGCTGCATCCAACTCAGATGGTACAACTGACACAGGCGAGCGAACCGCTTCGCCTTCCAGCTTTGCTCTCTTAGCAGCTTCTTCCTCGGCAGCTGACAGGTCGGCGATGCGCTTGCGCTTTCGCTCAGCTTCCTCGAACTCTCGGTCTTGCTGTTCCGCTGCAGCCTTGAGGATCCGCTTCAGGTCCTTTTCCTCCTTCTCGAGTTTCCCAACATTC